TTTTGACTGCATTCGGCTGGGAGCCGCTGTGTGGGCCAGGTTCTTAGAGCTCCGCCTGGGGCTCAGACTGACCATGGGCGGTGGCCACTGCTGTTCTGCTGCTTTTTGATTCTTTTATAAATATTCATTGACCACAGATACCCATACAGATACCCATACAGATACCCATACAGATACAGGCACGGACACAGGTACAGATGCCAATACAGTTGCTGAATCCGTATGGAGCCGAGTGGGTTTCTGCCTGAAGGTGGGCTCGGAATATTTTTAACGAGCTGCTTTATGTAAACAAACTGTTAACACAGTTGGGGCACCCGTGGCAGGTCTCTCTCTCTATCTCTATCTCTATCTCTATCTCTATCTCTGTGTGTCTGTCTGTCTCTATGTCCCGCGATATGGGTATTAGTGCCTGTTCTTGTTCTCATTGTTGACGCCGTAGTTTATGGCTACATGCAATCGCATTGAACAGCGATCTTAAGAGCCGATTAGATCTAACCTTGACCAAGATGATAGCCAACAAAAAAGACAACAACCAACAAAACACCTCAACTGATATTTTTTCTTACGCATTTTCATTGATGCCGCCGTGACAAGATCAGCATCTGAAAGACCAGAATTTACGAATATTTCCACAAATCAAGGCTTTCGACTGCCGAACTATGTTTTCATATAAATGGTGTCTAATTCGTGCATACAGTAAATCCTTTGGAATGTGTTTTATTTGCATTTGAATCGGAGTTGTATAAATAATGAAAACCAAAATATCAAATATCCAATATCAAATAGCAGAGCTTAAGTCTACGGGCAATTCGTACATTTATTCAAAACGTAAAATTGTTAGTCCCAAAAACCAATTATAGACATTAAGAAAATGAATTAAGGAAAAACGCAGGCAACTCAATTCAGTTTAACACCATTTTCAACAACAGCCATTCGTCAGACGCCTTCTATTTCAATTAATATTCATTTTCTGACGTCTCCCGGCATTTATGACCCGCTGTGGCAGTGGTAGTGGCAAGTGGCAAGTGGCAAGTGGCAGGCAACTCTTGGCAACACCAACACCAGCCACGATAACCTCAACAAACCGCAATAGTCATGACTATAATGACGACTCTGACTGCGACTCCTTCCCCTGGCCTCGCGTCGGGCCACCGTTCGTGTCATGAATTTGCACAAATTATGCTAATTTCCCAAAATTACAAACCACAAAGTGATTTTTCTATTGCCATTTCTGTGGTTGCTGCTGCTGGAGTCTGGGCTCTGGTGTCTACCGAGTTCGGATATTTGCACATTTGAGCGCTTCGACGCTCTGGGCAGAGAGGAAACAGCAGCAGCAGCAGCGAGCGCCGCAAAGCCCGAAAAACAAATACCAAAAGGTGATAATTTTGATTGTAAGTAAATTTTTGGTTCACTGAACTCTTTGTGGCGTGTCACATTGTGCAATCTCTGCTCGTTTTTAGCCCCGATGGTTGAACCGAAATGTTGTAGAATAATTTATATTTGATTGGGAAAAAACGGCAGACAACAAATCCTAATGAAAATATCATCACAAATCAATCAAATTCACCGCCATTCGATCGCAATCCGTGGGCGTTTCTGCAAGTGTCAATCTCACTCAAACAGTATCTATCTGTATCTGACAGATACGCGCACTTGTCCGGGGTGTACGAAAGGTTGGCTGCTGAAACAAAACCTAGAAATCACTCGGCAACGTAATACCCACACCGGTCCTCCTCATCTTGATATAACAATCGAGTCGGGTCGGGGGTGATTACATAAATAAGACAACTCCGACAACTTTATTTTGGGGCCAGCCGATGGCAAAGCATCGAGAGCCACCCGACAGCCGCGAAGCCATCTGCAGAGTGTAAGCTGCGTGATTTGAAAGCAATTCGCAGCTTCCCCCCACCCATCTCCCTCACTCTCCCGCAATCACCTGTTGGCTTTCCCCATCATTCGAGATTTGGCCTGCAGCACTTGCACTTACCGAGGGGCTGGATAGTGGCATTCAATTGCGATCCACCTTTGGTCATGACTCATGAGTAATCTACACAGAGCTGGGTATGAGGGAGAGAACTTCTGCAACCAATGTTGGGAAACGCGAGTACACTCTTGGTTTAATCAATCCACTAGGAAATCCCCATCCACTTGAAGTTTAATTGCAAAATCACTTCCTATTGGCCTGAACAGATATGCCTGCATATAGCAGATCTCTCGCAGTCGCTTTCAATTACCCAAGAGAGAGTGTGTTCACGGGTGTGTTCCGTCACAATTAAAAGCCAATTACTTAGCCGAACTCTCAACGCTTGGCGCCCGGCGAAGGAATCGGGTCGGGAATAGGAAGGGGTAATTTATTAATGGACTTTTCGCATAAATTGCGTTCAAGGCAGCTGGGCAACAAGGCAACAAGGCAACAGGCATTTGAAAATTAGAGCCTGCCTCATTTTGGCAATTACATAACGTTCCACGTTCCACGTACCGCGTACCAACCAGAACTCTGACGGCGGGACAAACTCAGGCCGAGTGAAAAAGCGTTGAGTAAGTCGGAGAAAAATAAAGCATACGCCCAAACACTTCAGCTGGCGGTTGTTTTTCTGTTTCTGTTTTTGCACTTGTTGGTGGAAATGCGGAAAACAAAAACAAAACCAAAAGAAAACACGAAACACGAAAAATTTGCTAGCCAGCATTAGGCCAATTGCCACATGCCGAGAAAACTTGCAGCCAGCCGCATAAATTAAAAGATCTGCCAAATGCCAAATAAAACTGAAATAAACTTAAAAATAATTGCGAGCAGTGTTGCCCAAGACAGAATTAATGCGAAAATTAAGAGTTACTTATTGCTACACACTTATGAATGTTACGGCGATATGCTAGTAAGTAGACGGTACTAGGATGCTGGCCTCCACAGGTCTGTCTATTTGTATGCAGAGTTGAAATGAATTTTCCTACTCCTACGCACAACAAGTGGCCTCTTGCAGGACAAGGAAGGCAATCCTTTCGTTCCGGCTCGCTGTCAATGTGAAGGCCGGAGCTGCTTCTCGCACATTGATCATACGCACTGTGTGCCAACAGCCATTCAAGTGTCGCCAGCTCAAATATTTATCATAATTCAAGTTCCCAACGAGGCTCCAACTGCATTCAAGTTGAAGAGTTTGTAGCCGTTGGGTTGTATAGGTTTCGCACCGCTCGGTTTGGCCCGGCCCGGCCCGGTTCGGCATGGCCTGGCCTGGACTGGCCTGGACTGGCTCATGTCATCAATGGCAATTTGTGGCCTGCAATTTGTTTGCGGCACAAGTTGCTGTTGAGCTGTCGCCGTTGTTGACATTTAGCTGCAGCCGCGGTTGCGGGACATTGAACTTTGCCGTTTTGTATTTTATAGTCAAATATACATACATATATTGAGAGCGAAGTCGAATCATTGTGTGCCTGATTAGCCATTTTTGGGCCCAAACTTGCTTAAAAGATGTAGGGTGCACACCTAGCACTGTATCCCAACACCAGTCATCAAAGTGTATCTTTATCTAAAGCTGACTCAGCTCAGTTCTCAGGTAGCTCTCACTTCCACTTCCTTTTGTATCTGGCACGATCTCAGCTGGGGGCAACATCTCGCAGCAGCTCTAGTTCATAGCTAATGCTTTAATTATAGCATGTAGAGATTATTTCCAAGATTTAATTGGACCACCTCGTACCGAGTGGGTGCCAATGGTCGCTGGGCCTCTGGCAAATCGATGATTGATAAACAAAAAGCCAATTAAAGCTGAAATAAACTCATAAGCAAATTGAATCGAAGGCATTCGGGTGTCCAAACAAGTAGCTAACCTTTTTCAAGGTCTGTCTCCGTCTTTGTCTACTTATGCATATGTACGTGTACGTGTACGTGTACGTGTACGTGTATATATTGCCGTCTGGCTTACTCTGTTACCCTCTACTAATCATTGCAATTACAGAGGCGATAAAACCGAACCCGAGAACTCAAAGAGTGTGGATACATTTCTTATCGACGATCGCAGATTATTTGCATAAAATGTGCAACTATGCAAATTGCAGCTAATTTTTATGACTTGGCCAAAGTCATTCAAAGCCAACTCATATTCATATTGGCGTTCATATGCACTCGTACCTCTATGGGCACTACGGAGCAAGAATGCTGAGCGAAATAAGTGTAATAAATTATTTATACGGCGCTTACTTGTCAATGTCTAACTGCTGGCCCAAAATGGATTCGATATTGCGATTTCTTTGACAAATTTGAATGAAACGTACATATGTACTTAACGTACTTAAACCAAAGATACATAATATGATTTTTGGGTGGATACAAAAACCATATATACTGAATTCCAAAGGAAGGTGGATACAGCTATTTATATTGCATCTACATATTCACACATATTTATGGCCGATGCTCAAAGAAGGCTATGGGCATATTAGATTTGTGGTGGAAGTGGATGCGTGCAACACCTAGAGGCAAACGTTTCTGACCCCATAAAGTATTTATATTCTTGATCAGCATCAATAGTCGCGTCGATATAGCCATGTCCGTCTGTCCATCGTTTTTGACGCCTAGTGCTCAGAGACTATAAGAGATGTCCCTCCTGTGATGTTAAAAAAAAACCAAATTCGTTTCAATACCCCCTTCCGGCCCCACCAAGCACGTAAATCTGTGGCATCAACAATTCCAAAGATACGAGAAAGACAAAAAACCCAGAATCATAGAGAATGAAACTACCCACCAGATTGCCGCATCTATGATCCAGACCATCGGATCAAATCTTATAATCGACATATAAAATATGTTGTGTAAAGATGTACATATATACTGATTGAATACCGCTGCCCTTGCCGCGCCTCACAACGTTTCCGCTTTGAATTATACATATGTATGTATATATGTACATATGTGTATCTAAAGCCTTACAAGTATCATTGATTGGACTAATTCCCTGATTTATTCGCCATGTTCGTTACTGATCACATTTTCCCCAATCTGTCGTTTTCAGGAGGGCAGCATCGGTCACGACCTGGTGATTAAGCCCTTGCCGCACGAGCTCAGTCCCAGCCAGGAGGAGGCCCACCACATTGTGTACAAGCGCGAGGCGAGCGCAGCAGAAGATCAACTGAGTGACTTCGGTAAGTCTGGGTGATGGATGGTTCCTGGGGCAGCATTGACCCGAGCCCCTGTGTGGCACACTGCACACTGTACATTCTTAATGGGCGCATTGACCCATGGAAGCCGTAGCAGCCATAGAAGCACTCCGCTAAGCCGTGGCCCATAAATCGCGGGCCGCGGCAACAAGTTGAGATCAACGTGAGGCCGATAGCATTTCCTGTTCGAAGATTCTTCGCGGCTGAATAACATAAAACAAAAGAAACACTCGTACGAAGCTAAGAGTTCAATGTAACAGTACGCCCTTCGCTGAATGCATTTACCCTCCGGTTGGTGGCGCCAAAATTCCAGCCAAAAAACTCCACTATAAAAACATGTACTTTATGGATGATTTTCCTCACCGTGCACTATTCAATATTCTCAGAAATCAAAAATAATAATTATTGGAAATACGGGTATTTCCACAGTCGGCTTTTGTGAAATGCGCCCAAAAATTATACTAAATACAGTTAAATGTTCGGCTACCTGACTTGCCAGCTTCTTATATCATAATAAAGACATTCCGATACTCGATTGTTGTTAATTTTGCTTAATTTACGTTTTCCGGTTTCGTTTCGTATGCAGCCTTCATGGAACCCGACGATCTGCTGGCCAGCGAGAAGCTGGAGCGTCTGCAACGGCGCCAGCGGCGCAAACGGCGCAGCGTTCCCACCAGTCCCGACTTCGAGGACCTCAACGACGAGGATGAGGGCGTTCTGGACCCAGAGCCCCAGACCGCCGAGTCCCGCACCCGCACCCGCACCCGTTCCCGGCGCCAGGCACCGTACATCATCTACCCCGAAGTCTTGGTTATCGTCGACTACGATGGCTATCGGCTCCACGGCGGCGATAATTTGCAGGTGCGTGAGCGATGGCGAGCCGCTCCAGAGGCACGAGGGTGCAGAAAAAAGAAATTAAAAAGTCAGAGCCCGAATGGAGTTGTCCGCGATTGCAGACAGCTGGGATTGTCTCCGCTTGTGCGTGGCGCTGCCACGACTCCGATACGGTCGCACCCAGCGCAACCCAGCCCGCGGGGGATTTCGAAGTCTGAAGATTGTAAAAGTTGTTTTTTGGTCTGTGTCTTTTTGTTGCCTGGTCTGCAAGTTGGTGGTTTGTTAGCTACATGTGTATACATGGAATATATACTGACAGATAGGTCTGGTCTGGCTGTGAGCCTATCCAGATCCAGGTGCCCCAAGCGGCCAGAGAGTCCAGATTAGGATTAGGATTGTACGAGTATTTCAGACGCAAAGAACACAGGTAAAATGGAACAGAAATGGTACAGAACAGAACGTGCAAACGATCTTAATGAACAATGTAGGAGGGATAGTGCGGTAATAGAGATACAATTTCTTCCACCATAATGTTGATTCTGAAATCGGCTCTGAGCTCAAAAAGGCTCGAATGTGCTCCATCTCCAGTTCTCAGTGGTTCTATCTCTGCGTTTTCGGATTCACTTCGAAGTGAAGCCGACGCACAAAATTTGATTATTATGCACATCACTCACAGTGGAGATTTATAGGTCTGCCCGACCTGGGTGCGCTCTTGTCCGCGAGAATCTGCCGCAAGACTAGCCAGCGGCAGGGAAGCGGCCCAGATGAAAGCAGATAGGACTGATGAATGTGTCCGGACCGCAGTTGATAGATACGAGTACTCAGCCGCGCCGTTCTCCAGCTTTGACTAATGCTAGCCTCCTCCCTATTCCCAAACGCAGGTCAAGCGGTACTTCATCTCATTCTGGAACGGCGTCGATCTTCGTTACCGCCTGCTGAAGGGCCCCAGAATACGCATCAGCATCGCTGGCATCATCATCTCCCGGGTAAGTACGACTTAACGGCAATCCAATGCCCTGCAACAACCCTCGAGCCAGCTCATTACACAATCCCAGCCATCCACTCTCATTTGGCTAATTGAGCAATCCATTTGGTAGCTCAACTTTAACCTCTCGCCAAAATCGGTCTCTCAAATTGGAGCAGCTCTTCTCCACCCCGACCCAGGCAGCTAATTCCCGAGTCAGCTCCAATGATCGGTCACGATCTGGGATCTGGCTGGAAACAAAACATGCAACGCATGCGCTGCGATTCGTTGGAAAAAATGTGAACAACCAATTTGGCTATTTGCTTGGCCGTAGCCAGCAAAAAGCTCGGCCAACAAATTTTAACAAGTTTTTTCCTGGCTTTGTTTTGAGGCACACTCGTGCCAGCTCCAAAGCCTTGCTAAATGTTTTTCTAAAAATTAGCCACAGAATGCTTTATGGCCCGCGAATCGAGCTGGTCAAGAGTTTCAGAGAATCAGTTTCCTCAGGCCCCGTTTGGGGGATAGATATTGGTATCATTGAACAGTTCTCCGAAAGATGAGGCCTATCCATTCTAGATGTGAATGGGCATGCTCTTGGGAGTAGAACAGAACGTTTAGGGTTCAACGTTCTCTGCCCTCTTTGGTTTAAGATCGTATTGGAAATAAATATACGGACACGTAACAGCCACATTCAATAGGACAGTTTCTGTGTGCATTTCATAAGAGGAAAAGAGGAAAAGCTCACCAAAGAAGGCCAACACTTGGCTGTCGTTTCCAGGCAGCCAGCTATAGATCGCTGTGAACATCTTTCACTTATTAACAGTCCACTAATTTGATTGCATAACGCAAAACCATAAAACACTTTGACAACATTATAGCATCGTGTGTCTGCTACCATTTCGTTTCGTTTTGTCTCAATCTGAGACCCAGACTGCCGCCTGGTTAGACTTTCTCACACAAATCAGTTTGGCGTTGGTTCAGGAAGCCACAGCCATTTGTCGTGGCCACAGAGGGAGCCATCGAGGGAGAGTGGGACGGCTCGAAAGTGCGGCACACGAAAGTGGAAAATTGGCACAGGCACAGGCATAGCATCGGCAGAGAGGCACCTGCGGCACACAGACGCCACAAGTTGCATCAAGCGGCTGCCCACACGACAGCAACGAGCAGGCCATCGAGGAGACAACGATGTCGACGGGTTACCCTAAGTACGTCAATTGGCTTTAGCTCTGTCTCTGGCTCTAGCTATGGATCTGACTCTGACTCTGACTCCGACTCTGCAGCCACAAAAAATTATTTTCAGACCGCATAAATAATGCAACAGCCACCAGTGCCACCAGTGCCACCAGTGCCACCAGTGCCACCACTGCCACCAGTGCCAGTACTGCGTGTTGGCCGTAGTTGCATAATCTAATGGGCCACGCTAACTGCATTCGGCCTTAGCCGCAGTTGACTCAGATCAGATTTTTCCGTACACACATTTTGGTCTCCTTTTTGCCCAATTTCACACACACATGACTTCCTCTTCTCCATGCACTCGAGCAAGTGTATCCGTAAATGCTCGTGTATGTCGTCGGGAAGTCGTCGCTAAGCACTTTTTGCTACGCTAATAAATGTTGGATTGCATTTGCGCTCTGGCCAGTCCAACCTGCGAAAAACTGGGCTCGAATAATTACTCAGAATTTGACTTGGGTAACAAATTATGGGATATCCATGTCCGATAACCTGCCGAGGCATGTTGGCCAACAACGAGTGGCCGAAAACGGCAAGGACTCTAAACTAATCCCCTGAACGTGAGTGGCACTTAGTCGGAAGGGTTTTTGGGGGCTGAACTCTGGACATCCTTCACTTTTTCGTGCTCTAGAGCAACATTTTTGAAAAGTTAAACAACTTGACCCCAATGCCAGAGACAAAGCGCCCAGCGGCTTTTCAAATTTTGAAGCCATTTAACAGAAAGAACGCAACCCAAAGCCACATAAATTAATCACTCATTGACAAATAACTAAGAGAATTACTTAGGCAACAACTGCGGACTGCCAGTTCTATGAGAGTTGTTCGATTAATTGATTCTTGCTGGAAAAACCCAAAACGAAAATAGAGCCGCAACAAAATGACAACAAAACGTTGCCACATTAATAAGCCGTGGGCTGCGTAACTCAACTGCACAAGGCGCTAAGAACAGCCCACAGCAACTGCAGCTCAGCCTAGTTAATGGCGTGCCGGCATTTTTTTAGTCTCTGTGCTACCCATGAATGAGGGGCAGAACAATGAGCTTAGATCGAGTTGCAACGCAGCTACGAGATCCGCCAGCGGCTAGTCTGAAAATTCTCATCGAGTGGCAGGCACTCAAATTACAGTTTGCCCGGGGAATATTAAACAGTATTTTTAGTACAGCTGGGTATGAAGGGGTGTATGGAATGAATCAACTTCACAACGTTCACAACTTCAATCTCCCCTATCAAATCCCAGCACTGCGTAACCCAAAGTCGAGCGCCACACAACCACGACCCGCACCTAATAAATTGCGTATACGCAATATAGTCGCTACCGCTGCAGCTGCCACTTGGCTGAAATTGAAATATGATTGTGGCGCAAGCGCAGCGCCAGTGCGTTCGACACTTGTACAGGCAGTAAGCCGGGCTAGCAGAAGAAGGGGCGAGGCTGTTTAACTTCTAACGGAAAGTTGCCCGCAATTAATTAAAATGTTAATTAAATGTCACAGATAAAAGTTCAGGCCAGTCGGTAGCCGACTTGAGAGCTACCCCCACGCCAATTCCACTCGGTTCGGTTTGGCTTGGATCTGAGCTGAGCTGAGCTGATCTGATCTGATCTGATCTGATATAAAGTGTTGGCTTTATAAATCTATATCCATGACTTGTTATGATCACCTGCAGTTGGCTATCAGCCCAGGGAATTCCACTCGGTTGATTAATGGATCCGCTTCAGCAGAGAAAAGAAGTCAATCCGATTCTTCGCCTCCACTCCTCTTCCGACTTCCTCCCGGACCTCCCCTGACCAAAAATGTTCAGTTCGTCTGGCTATCCCCATCCACTTTCAAGACGCCAATAAACATTCTCCATTCGCTCTTATCGCGGTGACTTTATCTAGAGTGCCACAGAAATGCCAAACAATGCATGAGTGACACACCCAGCAGGCCCCAAATAAAAAGTATATATGGAAATAGTCTTGTTGTCTTTGCCAGTTCTCATATTTGCCAGTTGTCATAACAAATTCCTCAGCTAACGAAGCTTGTGCCGCGGCGAAAACCGGGATAGGACCAGGCCCAGGCCCAGGCCCGGACCAGACCTGGACAATCAGTCTTGACCAGATGTTGGCTTCAGGGAAAGTCTCCCCCACTCGCATATAGAGTGCCGGTAGCCGAAAATGCAAGTGCCTGACAAACGTATAAATTGCAATAATGCAAATGGAAACTTGAAGCAAAGCTTGGACACAAAGAAAACCAAATAAAAAATAGAGTAAAACGTCCCCTTTGGCAAACACTCTGTCTTCAAAGCCCTTGCCGGGAATACTCTACGAGGACGTCTATATAAGCTAAATGTACATATCGACAATCGATCATATCCATAGGCAGAGTTCAGTTGAGTTTATCCCTTTTTCTTGGTTCCGTGAGTAGGACCCCCTACCTGCTAGCGGTAAGCCTAGCTTATCACAATTGCAGGGTATTGAAAATGAAAACTTATCCCCCATTGGTTGACCCAAAAGCCTGTCGGACTCTGTGGGTGGTGCCCCAATCGGCCGCCTGTCGCCCAGGTCCAACGTATCCGATGTGTGGGCGCCGAAAGCCGAAGCGAGTGTCGCTGGAAGGAGGGAATCGAAGGGGCTTAGTGGGTGTGTGAGTGGGTGTGAGTGCTTTTAGTGGAACACCGTCCACCTCCCAGTCAGATGGTTTAACAAGCCTTACGAAATGGTAGAAATTACAGACCATTCCATTGACAGTTTTTATAAAAGACTTATAAGCCCAGCCCAGAGAAAGGCACCCGAGACTGGCTGGAAAATTAAATTAAAATATACATTTTGCTTTTAATTACGCACAAAAGGTTGTTGCGAAACTGTCGCACAAACGTTATTTTATTTTTAATTTTATGTGCTTTTCTATGTAATTTTTTATTCGGGGGAAAGGCAAACCGGTCCCGGTTGGGTGTCTGCCATGGTTTGGTTACATTTTAGGTCCTACTGACAGTTTCTCTGATACGTTTTTTGGCTTTTGCTTTCAAATCTGATTATTTGAAACATGTTTTTTTGTATCCTTGGAGAGTATTTTAAACTTTGTCAGAAGTTTGTAAAATCCACTAGGAATCATCTCCACACGAAGCATATCCTGATCACATTCCGTCTGTTTTCGTACAAACTATTCTTTCAGTTTTTAAACGGTTTCGCCGAAATTGTGCAAATATTCTCCTTTCAAAGATGGGCAGATGACCGCCATAGCTGCTAGGCCTTCCGAGTGTAATTTTTTTTTACTGCACAGGGTATATAAAAGTCGGTGCTCCCAAGTTAGCTAGTGGCTTATGTTCGTGGTGGACTGCCGCCCCAGAGTCGGGGCCGCAGTGGCCACTCGAATTGTGCAATCCGTAATCAAAGATGTGCCAGGTCATCCATGGTCCGACGGCTTTCCCGCTGGTTCTCTGGATAGGGGACACTCTATGTACGAGCATTAGGCAGTCTAGTGCTAGTCTGGCAGCTCAGTCTTGGCTGTCTTTTCCAGGCCAACTTCTGTGACATCGATGGCCGTGTGTGGCCCAGTCTGGGAACAAGGCGCGTTGAGACCCCTCGCCGGGACTGGGCACAACAAATGTATAATGTATAATTACTAGTTTGCAAGTTTGGGTGGATTGAACAGTGAAGGATTGGGGAAATCTTTAGAGTGAAATGCCCATGCGTTTAAAACATTCGAAACCCTTTTTCCATTCCTTTGCAATTGCTGTGCCAGAGATCCCAAGTGTGTGATCCCAAGGTGCGCTGCTCAATGAATCATCTTCACGTTTGGCAACAAACTGCTCTAATAAACTATTCAAAATGTAATTCTGTAATAATTATTTGTAATTTGGCAAATTCGAGTCGAATCGTAGACCCCATGCGTTTGCCTTTCCCACTCGGCCCAAGGCCAGAGACGGAACATTTAAAATTCTTGATCGTTTCGTCTGAAGAATTGCCAAATATTCATTTTGGATGTTTGTTCATTATTGGGGAGGGGGGAGCACGACGTGCCCGTACTCGGAATTGATCAGTCTGTCATCTTGTACAAAACCCGAGCGGGAATGGGAATAGAGCGGCAAAGAGCCGACATGGAGTGCGGGCTTTTAATGGATATATACTAGATACGAGTACACGGCAATCCCACTAAACTATCAGATACAAATACACCCAATCGAGCGGACACATTCTGCATATCATTTGGCAATACTGATGCCTTCGCAGACTCGAATCCGTTCGAATTCGTTTGATGTTTGAATATTTTGTTATTGTTTGCGGTTGTCTGTTTATACATCACTTTGTCAGACTCTGTTCATTTCCTAGACATCTGCTGTCTGCCGTCTGCCGTCTACTCAACTAGTTGGTAATTTATCAAAATGCTCTAGCTTAGGCTGCAGTCCTCCGGCTTAGACACACAGATACCCAGATACAGATGTGAGCAATCTGTGAGATTGCTGTGCAGTTGGAAAATGGCTGCAAATCAAATGTGTCAGTCGGGCTCTGTTTGTCACCTTACTTTGGTTTTATCACCTGCACGCTGAGTACCTCCGTCCAGGGAGAAGGAGCTGCGACTGCAACTGGTTCTGGCACATACACGATTAGCCGTGGAGCCATTCTATTAACATATTGATTTGCCTAGGGCTCAAAATGATTGACAATTGTGTTACTATAATTTATGTAGCTGTCACTTCAGTAAATCTCACAACGCCCCTTTAGTCACGATATCTGCAATGTACGAGTGTGTGCATATGTACATATGTATGTATGTATAGTATGTGTATATTCACGAGTAGCCGACTGAAAGTTGCCCTGGGATGTAACTGATGAAATTAATTGAACTGCAACCAACTCCCAATTATGCAACGCACAATTGCAACTGGTTTTCTGTGTGCTGTGTGCTGTCTGCTGTGGCCTGCCCCCAACAACAATCAGATGCAATACGATTGAAAGAAAACCCACACGACTTTGACTTTGCCAATAATCAGACATCGTCATCCCCAATGATGGCGATGATCGTCTTCTGCAACGGCCTTATCGCTGCAACAGCACTAATGGCACGTTTTTCACGTTCACTTGATTTCCGTTTCGAGTGTAGCCACCAACATCATTTCCACCGAGAAATGGGCCATAAATACATATGTTGCTCGAAGCTCTTTCCATTTGTGTGGCTTTTCTCAGTCAAATGCCAAATCGGTTGCGCAATCGAAAGTGGAGTTTCCTTTGGGGGCTTCTATCCAATGGAGGTCGCCAAGTCACCCGATGACGGCGCTGAGGTACAGATTATTTCACGGTTCGCCCAGCTGAAATGTCAGCTACTGGGAGTGATTGTAAATTTTAAACTGAACTTTCAAAGAACTTTGAAAGGTTTGAATATTAACCTTTCAGCATCTCCTCAGCATCACCATTAGCATCCCCGTATCCAATAAAAATACTCCCAACCTTACCATTACCTTCTGACTGTTGCAGGGCCGCGATGCCACCCCCTATCTGGAACGCAATCGAGTGGGACGGGACGCCATCGACTCGGCTGCCGCCCTCACCGACATGGGCAAATATCTGTTTCGCGAGCGCCGCCTGCCAGTCTACGACATCGCCGTGGCCATAACTAAGTAAGTGCTTCGGGGGATCCGGCATTGTTGTCGCCCTGTGTTTTGGTTTTCATTGCAGGATCAACGGCAGTTCTCTGAGTTCTCTGAGCAGCTATCGGCACTTCCCCTTTTACTCTTTATTAGTATATTAACTATATTAGAGACATATCCCCTAAAGATACATTCCTATAATGTCTTCCTGTGTCTAGGTATGATATGTGTCGCAGGCGTAAAGGAGGTCGTTGCACCAAGGGCACAGCGGGTAAAGAGATACCATGAAAATACTAGACCTAGACTTGTACACACCCACACACACAAACACTGGTACACACAGATACACACTCAGAACAAATGTCATTACGGGTGTTTAACATATTTGAGTTAGTTTTTGGTTATCACCTCTCCCCAGCTACAAGACACACTAAAAAAAGTCACCTAAATTTGCGTGTGGGTCTTAATAAATTACCACCACTACACAACACACGCACACACACACGCACACACACACACACACACAACATACTAGTAAAAAATAGTTAATTCCAAAGCGTTAAACTAATTTGAGTAGCGGATCGGGCATTAATCGTAAAACCGGTTGACTTCTTTAGTACGAGTATCTTATATCAGTACCTGGCTCACGGTTGCATTGGTTTGCGCTTTGAATCATATATTTACATCAATACTAGCGTTTAAATATACTTTTTACGTCCAACTTGGAAAGGCCTCCATGTGGTATCATTTGTAGACAAAAAGCGGTAGATGGAAGACTTAATCCCTAAATTAGTGTTCCCTATCGGCAGTTGGATTGGAATCTATAAAACTGGGATACGAGTATTGCGTACATTTCTGAACCCGATCTTTGCTTCACAATTCGGTGCGTCGAAGATAGATTTTTCTCGTGGCCCTTTCTCCGCTCTTGAAACGATATTAAGTAATGCTCAAGCTATGTGTGCTTGCCCAAACAATCAATATCGAATTTGGCACGCCCCCCGATCGACAAAATAACAATCGATCAACGGCCAAGAGGAGATAATGAAATAAATGGTTCAGAAACCCCAAATCGAAACTGAAACCGAAACCAAATCTAAAATTTCTACGCATTTTTGAACAATTTTCGCCCGCAGACTCGATATGTGCCGTCGCACCTCCGCTTATGGCGAATGTAATCGCGGTACCGCAGGTAAAGACCCCACAACTATCATTCACTTCGTTAGCCAACAACTACTATGTATCTGTACAGACAAATGCAAAAAATAAGCACAACGAGCTGTGCAAACGCGCTAAAATAAGTAACATTAAAGGCGGGCCCCGCCAAGCCCCAAATGCGTCGCTCCATCATCAACAAAATCAAGCAAATTTAATGAATTTCATGCACGTCTCTTTGTCTCTATTCTCACCCTCCTCCTCTATCCAACCCACTCTGCCTCTGACACTGCTCCACCTCTCTCTTTCCGGCAAAGCGAACTAAACGAGTGCTTTTCGAGTAATCGCTGCTGTGCGGAAGCAAGAACAAGGGAATGTGCGCATGCGCTGGCGAACGATATCTTTGCAATTCTTCCTTTTCTCTGTGTAAATTATATATGTACATACATATGTACATATTTCTTTGAAGCATTCCGTTTCGAACTATACATACATATGTATGTATGTACATACATACATTCACATGCGCGCTGAGCCTTTCTTCAGCGGTTTCTTCAGCGCTCCTAAGACTGTACAACTTTCCCACTGCTATCGATATTCTGTCGGCTTCCGTCTAAATGCTATATATGTATGTACGTTTTCCGAATTACTTTATCGAACTCTTCTCTGTCTTCTGTGTCAACTGCATGTACATATGTATGTACATATATGTACTCTTAAACTGTTAATATAACCAATTTATTGAATTTCAGCTGACAAATAAATAATAAATATGAATGAAAAGTATCAACGATGTTTAATGAATAAAGTATATAGAAAGTCCACAATTGAAAAAAGGTTTAACATACATAAATATATGAATATACTACTAACTGCAACGCTTCATTAGAACGAATTGCTGCAAGACACAAATTGCCATACAAATTAATTATTATTTTTATAAAAGCACTACAAAAATAAAAATGCTTTTCAAACTAGTTATATTGGGCTTCTGTTAATAACACTAATAAATCCATATACTATTACTAACGTTTCACCATTTTGGTTATGGGCTAGTCATATCTAAGCTGGAGTTTTGCAGTTTTAGCTACTAATTTTACACGTAATCGCTCTCACACATCGAATAACAATTCGAGACCTTCTCTCAGCTGTTGCAGTTATTGTCTACGGACAAGAAAATTATGTTTGAGAGTAAAAACGAATGGCCGAAATGGAACAAGACATCATAATTTTGGTTAATAACTGCGACAGCTCAGCGACGTTGCCTTAAGGAAATTGTCAACTTCCTGTTGGACAGAAAAGAAAATTTACACAATGTGAAAAAGGCCCGCAAAATAATTGCCTAATTTTCTTCATGTATTTTCTTTCGGAAAAGGCTTCGCCTACGTTGGCGGTGCCTGCGTAGTGAACAAGCGACTGGAAAAGGTGAACAGCGTGGCCATCATTGAAGACACCGGCGGTTTCAGCGGCATCATTGTGGCTGCCCACGAAGTGGGACACTTGTAAGTAGTCCCACAGGAACATATATGCAATATAGGAAGCGACGATTGTACTCCTAGCGGCTTTCCTTGACCGGCCGGCGAGCGGAACTCATTCTGCACAACTTTCAATTCATGTACTTAGTATCCCAAGTCCCTGATCAAAGACGTGTATTTGGGGTTCACTTGTCCAGCTTTAACAGAAGCAAACTAAAAAAATAAAAAAAAAAAGCGAATAGCTTCCGCTGCTGGAAACTGGTCACTGAAACTCGTTTGCATTTCCGTTTGACATCATTCGGCTTGCAATTAATCAATTAACATTTTTCCCACCCGTCCACGCTCCTCAATCAAAATGTGTCTCTTGCTCTTTCACGCAGACTGGGAGCGGTCCATGACGGCTCGCCGCCACCAAGCTACCTAGGCGGCCCGGGCGCCCAGCGCTGTCGCTGGGAGGACGGATACATTATGTCCGATTTGCGCCACACTGAGCGCGGATTCAGATGGTCCGCCTGTACGGTCCAGAGCTTTCATCATTTTCTCAAGTGAGTGGATCTTAGGAACGGCTAGGATAAGAAGATTGTACTTGACTTGGCTCTGTTTCTTTCTCGTTCGCAGTGGAGACACGGCCACCTGCCTGCACAACGCCCCACACGAGGACAGCGCTCTGGGACGCTCTCTGCCAGGCACCTTGCTTTCGTTGGATGCCCAATGCCGGCGGGACCGAGGAACTTATGCCTGCTTCAAGGACGAGCGCGTCTGTGCCCAGTTGTTCTGCTTCGACGCCCAGACGGGATACTGCGTGGCCTACAGACCCGCTGCGGAGGGTTCGGCCTGTGGTAACGGTTATGTAAGTCCCCCTAAGTCACCTGTGATTGATAGCCGCACTCTGCTTTCGGCCCGACTAACCCAAACATGTTTACCGCTACACAGCACTGTCTGGATGGTCGGTGCACCCCTCTGCCCTCCAACATCATCCCCGACTATGGAAACAACTATCGTTTAGTCTACAAGTGAGTAAAGTTTATTTGGTTTTGTTTATTGAGAAGACTGTTCCTTAGTAGTTTTGTTGTGTAAGCTAAGCATTCTACTTACTAAAACACAAAAATTTAGAGTACAAAGTACATACACGAATATACACAGAAAAACAAATTTTAATGAACAAACCTTTACGCCTTTACACTAAATTAAAACACCAACAACACCAAACACAAATGCAACCGTAGTAAAATCGACAGCAAAAAAGATGCAACCTCTGAGCCAACGGAAGACATTGAAAATAGTAGCGAAGAGGCCGAGTCGCAAGAAGATGAGAATGAGAATGAGAACGAGAACGAGAACGATGATGAGGAGGAGCAAGAGCAGGATGAGGGCACCACTAGTAGCGAGGAGCAGCAGGATAATAAAGTCGAGCAGAGCTCAGACACCGCTTCGGCTTCCGCTGCCTCTGCTGGTACGTCGACATCTACAACGAAGTCGACGACAACGACCACAGTGCGACCCAAGGCGAAAGCGTTTGGGTACTTGCATCGCATTTTGCCGTTGTACGACGCTGAGAGGCAATGGCTTCAGAAAGACGGAGTTTTGGTGAAGACGCGGACCAGCAGTAGCGTCAGCAGCATTAGCGGTCCCTCTGCTCCCTCTACAACAAAAATACCAAAAACAACAACCACACAAACACCGAATCTCTTTCAAGTCTACACACATGAATTACGCAAACAAATTGAATACTACCTACACATGCTACAAACACAACAACATGCAACAAAATTGAAACCAGAACAAGAGCCACAACAGTCAGAACAAACACAACAGTCGATAGTTGAAATACCTTTGGTACAAAAACAAATTAAAAATTATAGTGTAACCAGCAACAGCAACAGCAACGGAGCAAAACAACAACACCAACAGAACACCAGCGAAGAGAACCAGAGGCAGCCGCAGCCGCAACAGCAACAGCAACAGCCAACCGATGAGGAAAATGAAGCCACTGCCGGCATTCAGAGCAATGAAGCGATTGAGCGGCAAAAACGTAAGTTCCCCATCCAATCCACCATAGCAACAACAGCAATAGCAACTGCTGCAAAAACGACATCAGCAACAACATCAGAAACAACTGCCAAAGGGATAACAACATCATCATTTCTCGATGCGTATTTTAAAAAATTACAAGCATTGCATTCACCAACACTGGATGGCGCAGTAACGGCCACCAGCACAATCACATCCGTCTCTTCATCCGTCAGCTCAACAAGCAAGCAACATCCGCAACACCCGCAGAAAGAAGACAAATTTGATGGCAGCGCCTTCCTGAAACGTACGCCAACTCGGAGTAGTATTAAAGCATACAAAACTAGTATTAGCAATACGAGTATTAGTAGTAGTCAACCTCATCCACAAAATCAACAACAACAAAGGCCAAGCTACATTGGCGACACCACAAATAATCTGCCAGCGGTGTTGGACAGTGCGCCAAGTACAACAGAAAGTACAGCTGTGCCCAAGAAACCCAAAATTAAAACACAAAAACTAATACGCCGCACACGAGTCATGTAACCATAAAGTGAACGCGAGAAAGTGACAGAGATGCTGATACGGAGAAAGACGCAAACAAGAAACTCTGCTACCACTTATTATAAACTACTAAATACTGCTAGCCAAAAACACAGTTGATCAGCTGCTTGCCAAAACCAAAACAAGAACCTTTCAACATACAATGTCAACGGCTCCTTCGTCCTTCGTCGTTCGTCCAACGACCAACGTCCACAATACCACACACACAAAACAAAGCAACACGCAACACACACATGTACACATGTACATATATGTCAAACCGACCGATCCGATACCGATACCGATACCGAAAACGATTCGTTTTTCTTACGTGCGGTAAGCCAAACCAAACCAATCCAGCATTCAATCCGGTTCTTAACTTCCTCCTTAGCAGTAGTCTAAAGCTTTACTCTAAAGTATTTTCCGTTTTTACGCTGCCTGCCCTATAATAAATACAAAAATATAACCTTGGTTGCTAAGGGCGACATGGAAGTAGGAATAAGTGAAAATTAAATGATAAACAATACTCATTTGAAGCTCCCTATTCGCATACGTAATTGGCCATTAGCCATTTAGCTGTAATATGGAATATATTTTTAGCACTTGGCGTTGGAAATTGCATCGATCATATCTGACATCTGCAAGAAACAAACATTTAACTCAGTAGTATAGGGACCGCTTAGTCAGTGGCCCCAGTTGTAGTTCTTGAATTATTGTTCCTTGAATTTGCATGAAATATAATATTTTAATTAGCTCCTACATTTCCAACAAGTTAAACGAGAATTATCGACTCTTGAGCCTTCTTCATCAGTGACCGATACCAGTCAGAACTTGATGAAAACAATGTCGTACATTTGCATTAGACACATAGTCAGAACCTCATACAGCATGCTTGAAGAAAAACTGTCATCAAACTTTCTTTCAAAGATCAAAATCTCATCACTGATACTTTTTTTGCTATTCCGGTATACATATCTCTCGCCTCTATCTTTCCAAAATCGACACACGCCCACACTCAAACACACATACACACATACACACATGCATTCAAGCAAATCCAAACAGGAACAAATTGGCATTTAAACATGCGCACACATACTCGTACCAGCATAGAAACCCACAAACATACACGCTCTCCTTCTCACACCACCACCACACATGCATACTCGAACATACATATTGAGAGGAATATCGAAATATTGGAAATATATAGAATTGTAGCAATTAAGTATTAGTTGATCAACAACAAATGGCATGGAATCAGAGAATAATCAAAACCAAACGCATTTTTGCATACTAAAAATCAAGCTGCAGAAGGCGAGAGTGCAACAAAAAGTAATTTGGCAAATGGAAGCGCATGGAATTGGAAATATAAAACTGAAATATAAATAATACACACGCACATACAACACCCACACTTCAAAATGGCGGCGACTGCAACAAATATACATACATACATACTTACATACATATTACAATATAAAACAAATCCAGAAAATGTTCATTGATTCTGCACGCCCGACAAAAGTGATATAGCCGCATTAGATCTATTCTTACTAATTACGTTTTCCATTTTTTTATTTCCCCTTCCCTCCCCTCTCCAAAATAGTGGTTAACTGGAAGCTGTTTCCGTTCTAGCGAAATGACGGCTGTACAGGCAGCAATTGGAATTGGTTAGTAACAGTCACTGCCATCGAAATTGGAACAAGTTTTTGCAGTTAAAATGTGTTTTAGCTAGAATTTATTATTATTATTTGAATGGAAAACTATTGATTGTTTTTAGATATAGCCACAACTAATTTAAAATATTGTCTGTTAAACGCCAACGCAACAAAGCAATTTAATATTCATACGAATATGCGTATGAAATGTTGCTCAGTACATGCATACATATATTATGTAATGATTCGGTATAATTTAATTTAATGCGAATTCTTGTAAAATAGTACACATTATTCTGTAAACATTTCATTCGCACAACTTTGGCAGACTACTTAAATTATTCTTTGAGCAAATCATCAAACAAGACGAACAAAAATAATTATAATCCCACTTTCCAATGTGATAAACATATAATTTGTACTCTTTACTAAAATATATTTATCGTTTTTTGTTTGAAAATTGCTTAAAAAGGTGGAGAATTGTCCGTTGATACCTTGCCGCACTTTGCCTACAAGAAAACTTAAAATTCCATTTCATTGATGTATTAAAATTGTTAGAGACGTACATTCTTAAACAATCATTACTTTATAGTTACGTAGTATAATGTTTGATACAAAAAAAATATATACAAAATAAGTTTTAGTTGTAGCTAATAAATGAAACTGTACATTTATCAACCACACACCCACACAAAAAGAAACAAAAACGTATGCCTAAATATATGTATGTACATAAAATAAATAAATCTGTACATGAAAATACTTGTACATCTTTGATTAAACTGGGGATATGAAAATAAGAATAAGAATAAGAAGATAAGAATACCTCTCTAAAATATTTCAATGCGTACAGAATCAGGTTCCATTGGAAATGTTTTCTGGGGTCAAGGTCAAGTCAACCAATAGTGCATAGTAAGGGTGTTAAGGGGTCGTTTCCGACCCCATAAAGTATATATATACTTGATCAGCATCAATAGCCGAGTCGATTGAGCCATGTCTGTCTGTCCGTCTGTCCGTCCGTCCGTCCCCTTCAGCGCCTAGTGCTCAAAGACTATAAGAGCTAGAGCAACGATGTTTTGGATCCAGACTTCTGTGATATGTCACTGCTACAAAAATATTTCAAAACTTTGCCCCGCCCACTTCCGCCCCCACAAAGGTCGAAAATCTGTGGCATCCACAATTTCGACGATACGAGAAAACTAAAAACGCAGAATCGTAGAAGATGACTATATCTATGGCTATTGTTTTCTTGATGCTGGCTATAATAATAATACGATCCAATTCAGATTCCGCAGTCTAAAAGTTATGGTCATTCTCTACGATTCTGCGTTTTTGGTTTTCTCGTATCTTTAAAATTGTGGATGCCACAGATTTTCGCCCTTTGTGGGGGCGGAAGTGGGCGGGCAAAGTTTTGAAATATTTTTGTAGCAGTGACATATCACAGAAGTCTGGATCCAAAACATCGTTGCTCTAGCTCTTATAGTCTTTGAGCATTAGGCGCTGAAGGGGACGGACAGACGAACAGACGGACGGACGGACAGACAGACATGGCTCAATCGACTCGGCTATTGATGCTGATCAAGTATATATATACTTTATGGGGTCGGAAACGATTCCTTCTGGTCTTTACACACATCCACTTTTACCACAAATCTAATATACCCCAATACTCATTTTGAGTATCGGGTATAAAAACCATTTGTTCCTCATGCAACATCTTGGTATTGTATAGTCTTTGGTCAGTGCAAATTGATTTGTTCCTTTTGGCTATAAAAATGATCTGATCTGATCCAGATTCAGCAATCTGATAGATATGGTCATTATCTATGATTCTGCGTTTTTAGTTTTCTCGAACCTGTAATATTGTGGATGCAACAGATTTTCGTTCTTTGTGGGGGCGGAAGGGGGTGGGGCGAAATTTTGAGATATACGTTTTATAGTGAGATCTAACAGGAGTGCGGATACTAAATTTGGTTACTCTAGCCTTAATAGTCTATGAGATTTGTGAATACCCCCAGATTTGCATCCTTTGCGAGGGCGGAAGGGGGTGTGGCGAAATTTTGAAACAAACTCGTCTCGGTCCGATATATTAGGAGTGTGGATACCAAATTTAGTTGCTCTAGCTTTTATAGTCTCTGAGATCTAGGCGCTAATGTTTTACTCTAAGCAAAGCCGCCTATGCTACGTGTGTGTTAGAGAGAGACAGGGCGAGAAAGAATGAAATTGTTTTCTTGATGCTGGCTATAATAATAATACGATCCAATTCAGATTCTGCAGTCTTAAAGATATGGTCATTCTCTACGATTCTGCGTTTTTGGTTTTCTCGTATCTTTAAAATTGTGGATGCCACAGATTTTCGCCCTTTGTGGGGGCGGAAGTGGGCGGGCAAAGTTTTGAAATATTTTTGTAGCAGTGACATATCACAGAAGTCTGGATCCAAAACATCGTTGCTCTAGCTCTTATAGTCTTTGAGCATTAGGCGCTGAAGGGGACGGACAGACGAACAGACGGACGGACGGACAGACAGACATGGCTCAATCGACTCGGCTATTGATGCTGATCAAGAATATATATACTTTATGGGGTCGGAAGCGATTCCTTCTGGACGTTACACACATCCACTTTCACCACCAATCTAATATACCCCAATACTCATTTTGAGTATCGGGTATAATAAGATAAGAAGGTTTGTTGCCAGTAGCTCCTGCCGAACGACCGTGAGGCATTGCGTCGCAGGGCACTATATAACCCTCCTGGTAGCCGTCTTCTGGCTCGCGCATCCTCGCATAGTTTACGCATAGTTGCACAGCGCATCCCATTTTCGTGTACCCCCACCAACGTTTCTTTAGTCAGCCTTCGACCACAGCTTTCCTTCATCCTTTCTCTCTCGACTTCGAACCTGGAACAAGTGAAGAGTATGTGCTCCGCATCCTCTGGAGATCCATCTCTTCAGGCAGGACAATCTCTGTCGCTTTCGTGCCCAAATCGGTGAAGATACGCTTTAAAGCCGCTTTAAACCATGGCCGCTTAGAAGTTGGGTCAAATAGATATTCACATTTCCATGCCTTCTCGTGCACCACTCTTCTACGATTGGGATGAGAGATTATGTCCATCTAACCTGCGTGGACTCGTTCCATCTCCGCTGCCACTCGGCCATTTTCTTGTGCCGCTCCCGACGTCGGATAAAATCTCTATTTGGTGCCGACTGAGTAGTTTTCCTTTGCTCGGTGTAGACTTCGGCGGCTTCTCGTGCCAACAGGTCGATTGGTAATGCACCGGCAATGACCGGCATTATGCAGTAGGAGCCATCCCCTTGTTTCGGCCCCTTTTATTGAGCCGATTTAGTGCCCTTTCAGCTTCGCCACTCTTATACTCATTCAATTTAGGTGCTCACGGAAGCATAGGCGTGTATCCAGCATCACTTCCAGGTCCAAGATGGCTCTCAGGCATTCTACCCTGCATGCTCCTACATTTATTACCACTATTTCCGTTCTTTTTCGGCTGCTCAGCAGGACTACTTCTGTTTTGTAGTCGATCAGTTGGAGCCCGAAGGAGCTTATCCACTCTTTGATTGTCTTTTCCTTCCGCATCCTTCAGGTTTTTTGCGACCGACAACAGGGCAACGTCTTCGGCAAACCCTATCATGCATGTGTCGTCTGGTAGCTGGAGTCGCAGGATTCCGTCGTAAATGACGTTCCATAGCAGCGACCCCCGGACTGATCCTTGGGGGACGCCACCAGTTACCTAGTACTTCTTTGTTCCTTTGTCTCTGAAATAGTCCTGGTCTGCCAGGTCTTCTCTTCGTCCGGTCTGTCAACATGTACTTGTATCTTATCGCTATTTTCGAAAATGACACAACTCCCCATGTTTAAGTATCATAGGTCCAAGCAGCAAAATAAAAAATTTTAATCAAATAACGCAAGAATGAGTACATATAATGGAAAAATTATTTGAAAATCTCCGGCAAGTCGAGCTGCTGGAAATCCAGCTTAGATCGCTTTAAGCGCCCTTAGAGCTTGTAGGCAGCGGCAAGTAGCGGTTGTACGACACCAGGTTTCGCACTAGAGCAACCACGGAGATCATACAGACAACGCCGGCAGGCATTAGTTTTCCAGAACGATTCCAGCGGGCACCCATTAGCCCAGCCAAGAACAGGGACGTGCCCAATTGGAGCATGGGGCGTGGTTGATCCTGGGAATTTAGGTGGGCTCCATAGCCGAGTAGAGCTCCAAATGCAAGGCCAGCTCCCAGCGAAGGAATCGATGCTGGTGAAATGGCAAAGAGATAAGGAGGTTGGATTACATGGCCCATTAAAACGAATATTGTGGCAGAACTACGCTCTTCCGACGAAAGCACTCACCTGCCTTGGCATAGCCCATGATGCCGCCCGCCGCAACTGTCGCAGCATATGCATAACCAAACCAATCCACCGGCATTTTAAATTGCTATACTTAACAATTAAAAAACAAATTGTTTTTTTGTTGCACAAGAAAAACTAGTAGCAATCGATATCGATATACGATATATATAATATTAATATTTTTGTGGAATAACTAGATTTTATTTTCCAAAATTTTAAATAAAATGTATCTCAAACGATCTGGATTATAAGGCAGATCAATCACTATTAGATAATTCTAGATTAATTTTACACGGTGTGCTAGCACAACAAGGTGTGACAGCTTATCAATACAAAAGGCGATCAATACAAGTTGAAAGATGTGTGACAGCAGCAGGGTGAACGTTTATGGTATTCCGATATCGATAATTCCACACCCTCTTGCAAAGTGTGACAGCAGTGGCCTTTGGACCAGGTGCGAACTTAATTAATGGATGAAATTAAATAAAACGGTAGGAATGAAATTCACAGGTGCCATTATGACGAAACAGTGAACGTCGGAGACCATTCCGATTAATGAGAAAAGGCCCAAAGACAAAGAAATTCACAGTTTTCGAGTTAGCCTGTCTGTGACGCAGTTACACAACAAAATTCTTGCCACAGACGTGTGGGCGCCCACAAAAAGTGGCAGGGGACGAATTATTCATAACAAAAACCACATCGTGCCCCAAGAAAGGGGTCCCCCACTGCACTCTGGAGCTGTGCACACACCAAAGGCTAAAGGCTGGTAGGTCCCGATGCTCGAGGCAATTGTCAATTTGCCGATTGCTATTTATATCTGCAACATGCGATTGCAATTGATTTTCTCTTTTTGTCTCTTTATTTTAGTTCAGGGACGCAGTCCGGTGTGAATTGGTGAGGAATTCACTTTTGTTTTCGGTAAGGCACGCGCCGACGAGCGGGCTTATCAATTCATTGCCGCCGTCATGGTCATCACGGCATCCAGTTACCGCACTGAGGCAGTCTTCGATTACAGCTGGAAGAATGTTGTAGTTGCTTACTGGAACCGCTACCCGAATCCCTCCAGCTCACACGTCCTCACCGAAGACACTATCCAACGGGAGGTACGGGATGGCAAGTTATACTCGCGGAGATTGCTCTCAAAGACTAATCCGGTGCCCAAATGGGGATCTCGGTTCTACAACAATGTGCCGGTCAAGATTGTTGAGGATTCGGTGCTGGATCCGGTTGCAAAGACCTTCACCACATTCACCCGCAATCTGGGCATGAAGAAAATAATGGTAAGTAAATTTGCTAGTTCTTGCAAGGGAACGTGAAATCACATGTTTTGATTTTTAGAGAGTCGATGAAATCGTTACCTACACCGAGCAGAATGATGGAAGCACACTAGCCGTTCGTCGGGCCTACATCAGCTCGCAAGTGTTTGGTTTCTCACGTGCCATTCGGGCCTTTGGCATTGAACGATTTAAGTCGAACAGCAACAAGGCTTCTAATGGCTTTGATTACGTACTTCGCAGAATGTTCCCGAAAAGCCAATCGAGTGTCCATCATTCAGCTTCTCCAGCAGCGGGAGCAACGGGAGCGTTTGCAGCCCATCAGAGCGAACTGTCTGTTGCCACAACGGCGGCGGTCCCGAATCACACCAGCACGATAAAGAGTGTGGCTAGGATAGGCTACGACTTTATGAAATGTCATGCTTCCAAGATTGCACAACTGTTTTCAGTTAGAAATTGAATCGCTATTATACTTCTAGAATGGGAAATGAATGGGAAAGCTTCGATTTGGGGCGAATTCTGGATTCGACTTCAGTTCAGCGTTGTGGCAAGCGGAAAATTTGCCGGCTGTAATTATATGTATTCCAAACAAAACCAACTTTGATACTTTGCTGCATTTCATTCCGTGTGAGTGTGCCCTCAAAAAAATATGAGAACGATGGCACGGTTGGTTTGTTGAACTCTTTAATTTTAATCAAGCAAATTGCATTGTTTAATCTATATTTCTGTTAGGCCAACCATTCTGTACGTAAAATTCGGGAATTGTATGTAAACTTGTATATTTTGAAATAAATTATTAATATTTAAATTATGCCCTAAACCAATCTCTTACAAATACCAGCGAAACATAGTTAATCTACTTTTCATATTCAAAATAAATGGATTATATTTGACATACACTTCCCGACACTTGAATACGACATACTAAAATGTACACTTTAAACACCAATATTTCCGGCACAAGCCAAAGAAAACGGGGAATTTGAATTTTCATCAAATCTCTGTTCAATTTAGCATAAATTAAAAAAAAAAATAATAGCAATATTCATCAAAGTAGAAACCTCTCAACTTTGTTGCATGCTTGATAAACTCGACTTAATGAAAATTAGGATTTTGCTCACCACAGAATAATAGCGCTCAGACTGCTGTGAAAACGATCCAATTATAATTCTTCTTTACTACTCACTTCCTTTACTTCCTTGAGTCCTTATAAATATAAAAAAAAACCCTTATGACCCTTAAAATTTAAATTTTTTTTCCTTTGAAAATGCTATATAGCGACAGTCTCTACTCCACGCCATATGAATATGCAAAAGTACGGGAGTATTCTAAGTTTTCGTCCGTTGGCTGAGGTTTTTTATTAATTATTAATTATTAAAAAAACATGTTTTATTATTTTAGCACTAGCTAAAAGTACAGTTTTCGATTTTTAAATCGAGTTTTAGTCGTGTTTTTTAGATGCGGCTCGCAGATGAGATCTCGTAGAGGTCTCGGAAGTAGCAATTTTGGTTCCGTTTTTCTATGTTTTTGCCATAATTTGACCCGTTCTTTATGAAATCACTCAGAACACACCTAGTTTTACCAATTTCATCACTTATTTTCATTATTGATGGACCTACTTCCTTCGAGGCTTTTATTGTGGATTTTTCGTCCTTTGAAAAGGACTTACCATAACCCAAATTTTTTCTCGTAATAAGGACACCCTAATTGATTTTTGAGAATTTATTCAATGTCCGGTCGCGACCACATCCAAAATAAAAAATTGTTCAATGTGAATGTCGTATTCAAGTGTCGCATTTTTTTGGGAGCGGAAATTTGAGTTATGTCAATTAAATTTTTTTCCTCAATCTACTTTGATGAATATTGCTACTATTTAATTTTATTTTAATTTATGCTAAATTGAATAGAGATTTGAGGAAAATTCAAATTCACCGTTTTCTTTGGCTTGTGCCGGAAATGTTGGTGCCTATAGTGTACATTTTAGTATGTCGTATTCAAGTGTCGGGGAGTGTATGTAGATTGTATTTTTAAGATCCCTAGAAATAAACATAATTTACGTAGACACTAGTGGGCCATCGTAGCTGGTTACAACGAGAATAGTGGAAATTTCAAATTACTGATGCAATAAGGAACAAATCGACAAAATGGTACCGAATACTCAATACTCAATTGTCGTGCCATTCCAGATCGCTAACAGATCAACGCTGCTAACTTTCTATAGCAGTGCCGTCCTATGTGGTTTGCATTACTGAAGCTCTGCTGCTCGACTGGTGACTGGGATAGACTTTCCCACGTATGAAAAAACAAAATATTTATCATGAGGACGACGAGGTCTATAGATGATCGATTTGAGTTTTATCATTTGGAAAATACGTCATTACACCTGAAAGTTTAGCGTTCTGAGGAATATGATATATGGTGCGACACATCTACTGGAAATAATATGCCATACATTCCATTGCCATTCTAGTTGCCAAATATATCAGCAAAAGTTTCAGCAGGCGAAACATACCGGTTTTTTTTATGTGTATGGGAACGGAAATAATCGAGATGTATGGTCAGAATGAGGTGATTTCAGTCGATCTGCTCACCTTGCCCGCCTCTTTTGCTAATGATGATGCTCCAGAAAGAATGGATACCTACAAGAGGAAACTTCCCAGCCAATACCGACGATTCATCAATACCATAACCGTTAGGTTTTCTTTATGGAATGCCATTGTTCTACATTTACAGTACCCTAACAGTAAAAAATATTAAATTTTCCTTCGAATTCAGAGACGTTCCGACTATCGCACAAAAATATCGATTTCGATCTTTTTCAACCAAGAATATATCACTTAAACATATATCGATATAACAATATATACAACCCGGCGACGCCAACTTCCCTCTAAAAATCGCATGTAAGCGCATTTTTTGTGTATTTTGTGTTCAAGAAAGTGTTTTTTTTCGCAGATTATATGAACGTAATTGCATAAATGGTTCTATAACGTAGCTCACTGACCCGTACAATTTGCAGTTTGCACAGACGTACCCAGTACAAACTGACGAGAACCTTTTGTGCACTGCGAAAGCAAGGACAGTTTTAATTGAACATTAAAGAAAGGCACCACACCGGCATTAAGAAAATGTCCAAAACAGATGCTGCCTCCGTCGACGCCACCGAGGAGAACTCTGTAAGTAGAAAGCTGAGGGAAATTCAATATATTTACGATTAGTGACGCCATAGAGGGTGTCGGTGAAGCGTAGAATATTCTAAAATTTTTCTTTGCCTTTCCGCAGAATGAAACCACTTCCGATGCGGCCACCAGCTCCTCGGGGGAGAAGGAGGCAGAGTTCGACAACAAGATTGAAGCCGACCGGAGTCGGCGGTTCGATTTTCTGCTAAAACAAACTGCTGAAATATTCACCCATTTCATGACAAACAGCGCCAAGAGTCCCACAAAGCCAAAAGGAAGACCCAAAAAGATCAAGGATAAAGAAAAAGAGAAGGATAAGGATAAAGATAAGGATAAGGAATTAGCTGAGTAAATGCATATAATTTTATATTTCTTTACGCGTACTTATGCCCACCTGTTTGTCCCTGTAGTCATCGTCATCGCAAAACAGAGCAGGAGGAGGATGAAGAGTTGTTGGCCGAGGATACGGCTACAAAGGAACTATTTCGTTTCGATGCTTCCCCTACCTACATTAAGGGTGGTGAAATGCGCGACTATCAAGTTCGTGGTCTCAACTGGATGATCTCATTGTACGAGAATGGCATCAACGGCATTCTGGCCGATGAAATGGGTTTGGGTAAGACCCTACAGACCATCTCTCTTCTTGGGTATCTCAAACATTTCAAGTGAGTTGTCCAAATGTGTTACGCTTCAAAAGTACTCAGAGCATTCTGATTATCCTGCAGAAACCAAGCTGGTCCCCACATCGTGATTGTTCCCAAGTCCACGCTACAGAATTGGGTGAATGAGTTCAAGAAATGGTGCCCATCGCTGCAGGCTGTTTGCCTGATTGGTGACCAGGACACTCGCAACACTTTCATCCGTGATGTGTTGATGCCGGGCGAGTGGGATGTTTGCGTGACATCCTACGAGATGTGCATACGTGAAAAGTCCGTATTTAAGAAGTTCAATTGGCGTTATCTGGTTATTGACGAGGCACATCGCATCAAGAACGAGAAATCCAAGCTTTCGGAGATACTCCGGGAGTTCAAAACAGCTAATCGGCTGCTCATCACCGGTACCCCATTGCAGAACAATCTCCACGAGCTCTGGGCCCTGTTGAACTTTCTCTTGCCCGATGTATTTAACTCGGCGGAGGACTTTGATGAGTGGTTCAACACAAACACATGCCTGGGAGATGATGCCCTCATCACGAGACTGCATGCCGTACTTAAACCCTTTTTGCTGCGTCGTCTAAAGTCCGAGGTGGAGAAGCGTCTGAAGCCCAAGAAGGAAATGAAGATATTCGTTGGTCTTTCCAAGATGCAAAGAGATTGGTACACCAAGGTACTGCTGAAGGACATTGACATTGTTAACGGAGCTGGTAAAGTGGAGAAGATGCGTCTGCAAAATATCCTCATGCAGCTGCGCAAGTGCACCAATCACCCCTATCTGTTTGATGGAGCCGAGCCGGGCCCTCCATATACCACGGACACTCATCTGGTTTACAATTCTGGAAAAATGGCCATTCTGGATAAACTCTTGCCCAAACTCCAGGAACAGGGATCACGTGTTTTGATCTTCTCCCAAATGACCCGCATGCTCGATATTCTAGAGGACTATTGCCATTGGAAGAACTATAACTACTGTCGGCTGGATGGTCAAACGCCTCACGAAGACCGCAACCGACAGATCCAGGAATATAATATGGAGAATAGTACAAAATTCGTCTTCATGTTGTCCACAAGAGCTGGAGGCCTGGGCATTAATCTGGCCACCGCCGATGTTGTCATCATCTATGACTCCGATTGGAATCCCCAAATGGACTTGCAGGCTATGGATCGTGCACATCGTATCGGTCAGAAGAAGCAAGTAAGAGTTTTTCGCTTGATCACAGAGAGCACTGTAGAGGAGAAGATCGTAGAGAGGGCCGAGGTCAAGCTGAGGCTGGACAAAATGGTCATTCAGGGTGGCCGCCTTGTTGACAACCGCTCCAGTCAAATTAACAAAGATGAAATGCTTAACATTATTCGATTCGGAGCCAGCCAAGTATTTAATTCGAAGGAAACTGACATCACCGACGAGGATATCGATGTCATACTGGAGCGCGGTGAGGCTAAAACGGCTGAGCAGAAGGCCCAACTTGATAGCATGGGAGAGAGCTCGTTGCGCACTTTCACCATGGACACGAATGGCGAGGCCGGCACTTCGTCTGTCTATCAGTTTGAGGGCGAGGATTGGCGTGAGAAGCAGAAGCAGAACGCACTTGGAAACTGGATTGAGCCACCGAAGCGTGAGCGTAAGGCGAACTATGCCGTGGACGCCTATTTCAGGGAAGCCCTGCGCGTCTCCGAGCCCAAAGCCCCTAAGGCCCCACGCCCACCCAAGCAACCTATTGTCCAGGACTTCCAGTTCTTTCCGCCCCGCCTGTTCGAGCTGCTCGACCAAGAGATCTACTATTTCCGAAAGACTGTCAACTACAAGGTGCCCAAGAATACAGAACTCGGCTCGGAAGCCAACAAAATTCAGAGGGAGGAACAGCGCAAGATTGACGAGGCCGAGCCCCTCACCGAAGACGAAATCATCGAGAAAGAGAACCTCCTCTCCCATGGCTTCACGGCCTGGACCAAGAGGGACTTCAATCAGTTCATCAAGGCCAACGAGAAGTACGGACGTGATGACATTGACAACATAGCCAAGGACGTGGAGGGCAAGACTCCCGAAGAGGTTATTGAGTACAACGCCGTGTTCTGGGAGCGTTGCACAGAGCTGCAGGACATTGAACGAATTATGGGACAGATTGAGCGAGGTGAAGGAAAGATTCAGCGACGGCTGTCGATCAAGAAGGCCCTGGATCAAAAGGTATGTCGGATGATTTATTTATTAGTAAAGGATGTATCACATTTAATGAATATCACATCTCTTTAAAGATGTCAAGGTATCGAGCACCCTTCCATCAGCTGCGTCTGCAATACGGCAACAACAAGGGGAAAAACTATACCGAGATCGAAGATCGTTTCCTAGTCTGCATGCTGCACAAGCTTGGCTTTGACAAGGAGAATGTCTACGAGGAACTGAGAGCGGCTATAAGGTAAGTGGAGAAGTCTGCAAAATCTGAAACTCTTACTTATTCTGTTGTTGGTTATGATGCAATTCGACAGAGCATCGCCGCAGTTCCGCTTCGATTGGTTTATCAAGTCGCGCACAGCTCTGGAACTTCAACGTCGTTGCAACACCTTGATTACACTCATCGAACGCGAGAATATCGAATTGGAGGAAAAGGAACGCGCCGAGAAGAAGAAAAAGACGCCGAAAGGCAGCGTTTCTAGTGGCAGTGGAAGCCACAACAGCACTCCAGCACCAACGCCCCAGCCCAAGGCTAATCAGAAGCGCAAGAACGATGTGGTGGCCACCAGCAGCAGTTCCAAGAAGAAGAAGAAGTAAAAAAGGTACTGAACGGAATGTACGATCGCAAGATATTCCCTTGAGATTTGGCTTTTCCAATCATTAGTTGCAGTTCCAGAGCAAAGACAACAGATTACTTAATATTTCAGTCTGCATAGACAAATACATAGATATGTATGAACGTAGCTCTTAGTTCAGTTGCCCCAACAGCCACCACAGCCCACAACAAATATGCATTCAAAAATTCAACTATAATATCATTGCGCGCCGCTGTATTCTATTCCACGTATTTGTACTTTGATTTTAAGAGCTTAATTATTATATTTATATATTGCAACATCAGATCAATGAGTATTCCTAATGAACAGTTTATCCGACCTTTATTCTAGAAAGTAAACGGAGGAGGGAAACAATTTCAATCTCATTTTCAGAAGCATTCTCTTTATAGACTTAACATAATAACATTTATAAACACCGACACCGCCTTGTCGCCGCGGGGCGGAGCTAGATAACTGCGCTTTGAACTCAAACTCTCATCTCTCTGTCTCAGTTTTCGATTCCATCTGTAGGGGTACCTGCATCGTATTTAATACTACCATCGTCCATCGTCCATGTACGATGGGTGGGATGGGAACTTTAGAGATCCCATTAGTCATCGCCGCTGTACATCTCAATGATCTCCCCAATGCTGGCCACGGCACCAGCAATCAAAGCTAGGATGGACAGAATGCCCAAAATAATATTCTTTACCATCTTCCAATTGCACCAACCCAGACGATCGGGATAAAGGTAAACGGTCTCAACGAAGCTGGGAACAAAAATGCCTAGCAGTGAGAAGAACACGGCGCCCACCAAGCTGATGAACGGTTCCAGGTTGGGAATAGCAGCGGCCACGCCTCCGCTCACCAGAATAATGCCACTGCGCAGCATTATCTGTGTAATGTTGTGCTTCTCAGGGCTGAACTTGTGGTTGATCTTGCGCCAGAGGATCTCGTTAGGCACGTAGAACTGTAGGCCAAAGGTGAACAGAATGGCCACTGCCATCAGAAGCTTGGCCGTGTCGCCCAACCAGGAGCCCTCTGGCAGATTGAGCGTGATGCTGCCACGGACCGTGTCCCCGAATCTCACATAGCCAAAGAAGCCAATGATCGCGTAGAGCAGCACCACAGTTATCATAGCCGTGTTAAGAACACCAGGACATCCGAGGAATTGCTGAGGCTTGCGCATTGAGTTCTCCACGGGCATCACTACACCAATTCCCTCCATTGCGAAGATGACCGTCGCAAAGAAGAGGGGAATGTGCGCGGCCGGGGCGATCAGCGGCTTATCAGAGTAGACTAGTGGCTCGTCAAACATGTAGTACAGGACAATCACGAAGGTAATCACAATGAACACATTGGCCATCAGCGAGAACGGAACCAGCCACTTGAGATTCCGGATCTGTCCGATTAACAGACACGGAATAACCGTTAGGGCAATATAGATTCGTACATCCCAGTTCAGGTTGCAGTCGAAGTTGATGACGTCGTGGAAGGAGGTAGCAATGAACACGATGTACACACATGCCGCCGCATAGTAGGTGGCCATCAAGCCAATATCCACAAATTGCCTAAAACAATGCACATTATTGTCTAATTTTTGTTGTTGCTTAATACAGTGAGATTTGACTTTTCTACGTACTTGGCAAAGTTTGAATAGGGCCTCATGCCTTTGGGACCGTACTCGAACACCTTCTCGGCCGTCTCAGCAAATCCCAGAGCTGGCACCTTAGCATCGCGGCAAATGTTGTGCGAAGTTTTCACCTGAAATAAAGAAAAACGATAATTAAGTTCTTCATATCACAAATACACCAGTTGGATCGAAACCAGGTATTCAGCTTCTATTATTGATTATTATCATGAGTGAACTTGAATAGAAAAGGCTGCTTCAAGGTGTAGTGCTAACAGGAGAGCTTGGTACCTGGCTTTATATCCTACGGAGTGAAAGCTAAGCATCGGGTCTATCTGGAGAGTTAAAGTCATCTCTTAGTAGTAAATATTATTTAAAATGACGACAGACAAAGGTTATAAATGACTGTACAAAATGTTTGTGCTATAAATCTGTATGTCTCAAGTGGATTATTAATATGTATAGATCGGTGACTTGGGCTTTCTTGGCATCTGAATGTGATTTTTAGTCGCACTCGGTTTTGTACAACTGTCTGGAAAGTGAAGTACGTCTAAATTCTGGGAAGTTATGTGTTGAAGGATTTGCGATAATCGGAAATGCATGATCATAAATAAAATCAACAATAAAACTTAGCTTGATTGCTGATATAATTATAAATTGTATTTATCTCTCTCTGATTAGACCATATCGCGGTATGTCTGGCTTCCAGAGGTGTGGAATACCATAACTGGACTATCTGTTGCACGCCTTATCAAGGCCTTTCAAATTCTATTGACAGATGACTTGGGACAGCACCTTGAGCTACTTCAGCGAACTCACAAATACGTCAGCTCGGCTGGTAATGGTTTATTTGGTAATTTTTTAAGTCAACAGCCGAAATCAGGTGCTAAGTCTTAGATTTGCTTACCAATATGTGAACACAGTGGGTGCAGAGGAAGCCAACGATGAGCGTCATGCACATTCCAAAGACCAGGCCGGCGTTGTGAAAGGCCATAGGCATGGCTAGAATTCCTGTGCCCAGGGAACTCTTGAGCAAATGTGCCAAAGCGCCTCCAGTACTGGCTCCTTTTGGATCGCGATGCTCAAAGGGACTATAGGGATCCTCGGAGAGTGCGAGCTGATTCTTCTCTGTCAAGTTGGCTCTGCATGCGAAAAAGAGAGAAGAAAATGTTTAAGGTCCAGATACTAGATGATCTACAGAGAGTTCAAGTACTCACTTCGAATTGAAGTCGTTTAACGAGATCGCTGATGTTGATGTTGAGTAGGCGGGTGGATTGTCGCCTGCCGAAGCAAACACCTCCGCATCTGGCTTAAATCCTGCATTATCTGTCATCTACAAGCGCAGAGATACCGAAAATGAATGAGAAATTGATCGTAATTACGTAATTCAATCACATGATGAATCGACACGAGTAGGCGACTATCAATGACCCCCGGTACGAGATTCGCTTTCGTTCGTCCATTTGCAGCTTGTGCTAATCCATTGAAGGGTTGCTAGGCGCATGCCGTTCGTATCTTATCGACAGCTTGGAGCTTTCAAGTATAGCCTTAGCAAAAAGATTCCAGATACTAGCAGATCTTTATCGCCAGCGACTGGAATCGGTGCCTGGGGCTGGGGGTCCGCAAATAAAAAACACTGGACTGCATTCATAAAATTTTGCTTTATGGCTCTATAGCCATATGGCCCTAAAGACCGCCTATAATTTCACTCACTTTGACTGATGGCCATAAAGGCGATTCTAAATCAGCGTGAATGTGGTAGCCCCCTCCCGATATCGTATCTGAGCGCTCAATGGAGTCATTTCATTTTTTGAATTCCCCCAAATACTTGACTATGTTCTGTGAGTGGGTTAAGATTAGCGTAATCATGGCAAAGTGTTATTTATAAGCCTTTCCGTCTCTCTTATACTATAAATTAAAATTTATGAAACAATTACAATACTTTGTTAATGCGCATGGGATTGTTGTTGGCTCCTCCGATTTGTTCCAAAGGACAACAACATTTAATGGGGGTATAAATAACCATCCGTAGTAACCTAGCTCATAAATTAGTTTATAAAAGTTTCCGGAATGGAACTCATCTATTCCAAATAATTTACATAAAATGGCTTGTTAAAAGTCCTTTGACCAAGAATATACGATATAATTGACACAAAACGGAAGCACGAATGATATGATAGTTAAAATGGTACATACATATGTGCGTAGGCTATATGTATAAATGTATGTTCTAGAAAATGGCATCGAAGGAGGTATGATCCAATGTGTGATATGGATTACATCTGCAGATCTTCGGCACAAGAATGTAATTGCATGCTATTATAAAAGTCAGAGGGCGTATATCACTTATATGTATGTACTAGTATTTCAAATCTGTCCATGTCCCATTACTTTGAAGAATGTGCTCGCTTGGGATTTGTAAGTAATCGTATTAAAGGCACATATAGAATGTAACACTTTTTTTTGAAGCAACACCGGAATAATTGAAAGACTTTTTTAAATTAAAGAAACATTTTGTCAAATATTTGAATGCACTTCTCTGACCCTAGTCCTGTCGTTATTTCCTTATTGGGAGCCTCGAGTCCGGGAACTTACTTTTCAGCTAGCGTAGTACGGTCCGAAAAGATCTTGAGCGATTGAGGACCGAACGCGTCCTCTGGCCAAAAGCAACTGAATAATCAGTTTAAAAGTAATAAGCGGCTACGGGTATGAGGTACGTGAATGCTTTCGAGTGGGCCTGGCATGAGTTGGTGCCACGGCGCCGAAAAGTGTCGGAAAACGTTGGAGTAACAATGTCCCAAAATGATAACGCCTTAAAGCAAGACAGGCAACAATAATTAATAAACAACAAATACCCGCCAAATGCCTATAATAATAAAATGTTAAAATCTACCTTTAAAATCAATTATAAATGACTCCCCGATAACCTTATCGTTCCCAAACTGAGCCGAACCTGACCCGAGAACAAATTCATTCACCTAATTTGCTGGCCAGAACAGAACAGAGCCGGAACGAAGAGAAACCCAGGCAATAGGACTCATCAATGAAATACACATGGTATCTCTATAAATGAACGGTACTAACTCAGCTATCCCTACAAACTTTGACTTCGTTCTGGGGAATTAGCGATTCAAATGTTTAAATATACAATATATACATACATACAATATTGAAAGCGGTAATCAGAGTAAAGCGTGTTTAATATTATTGTTATTATGTCGCCCGATAAGATTATTCGAAGTCGTCAAAAATAGGGCCAGCACAATTCATACTGTTCTAGGGATATGCATACCCATGGATACCTATGGCATGTGTTACGATCGAATATAATATGTTGGCGGCACACAACTCGACGGTAAATTTTTATGATCGACTTCTAATTGTGTTTCTGGGGGGCAGTTATACGACGTCACGCGCCCGCGTCCACTTATTCGATACTGAATCATACATATCAGGACATGTGGCGTGGCCATTGATTAGCTCTCTGGCTATCACAGTCGTTAGTCGGCCCAAAGTTGTCGCTTATTAGCTTTATGGACAATTACTTGGGTTGGGTCATTAGATCTATAATTTAATTCAAATTCGTGTTAAGTGCGTCACTAGGTGTTATGGAGATAAACTCGAATCAGAGTTTATGATCATGCTAATCAGCTATCGATATATTGGCTAAGTTAAGCCTTCGTGCCCTGGCACTGAAGCAGTATTTTCTTTAAGGTTCTACTAATGAGCGAAACGGAATACGCAAAGATTTGTATAATCTTTGTTTCCACGCAAGTTAAAGTGGAAAGATCCTCAGCTCGACAGCTTAGGAAATTAGCCTGCTATATAGGCATACCCATACCATCTCTACACATCTGTATAACCGACATAGTGTTAAATATTTATGTACAAGAATTGTGCAGATTAATGGAATAGTTGGCCCGACGTTTGCCATAAGTTCTGTTTATCGAACGGAAAATGTTACGTGATCCCAGCCAGATGGCAATGAAATGTTCAATTCTGCCGATTCTGCCCGATGTCTTTGCTGGATATAACCGCTATCCTATAGCAACCGATTTCTTCCCTGCCTGTACCACCTGTACCTGTGCCTGTGCCTTACAGCAGCTCGGCAATTCGGCAACCAATGGATGATACCTAGACAGTACCGGACGAGCCGTATCCAACGGATACAGATGCACAGATTGAGATACATATCTAGATGCACATATATAAAACATATTCGTATCGTGCATACCGTCTCGGTACATAAGGTTAAAATGCAGTACAAACTCTTCTAAATTTTAGAGACAAATAGATGCCGAATCAAAACACAAATCTTAACAAAACAACTAAATACATATAGGCATATATGTACATGTATATTGATAGTGGGATTAGATCATTATTATTAGACATGTCTGGGATCTGATCAGCAATAAATGTATATGTAAATGTTAATTATTTCTCTAGTACGATCTATAAAGGCATGGATCAAATAGTTATGCACTTTTAAGCCGATGTCTAATTGATTTCTCCTTAAGCACTTTATCTAAATAACTCATAGATAATTTTAGTCTTTTGTTTGAGATTAGAAATGCATCAATAACCCCCGAAAACATCCTCTTTAAAAGTGTTTATATTTTTAGTTTTTCCTTTTTTTTAGTTCGAAAATGAATATTCGATTTTGCCAAGCGGTTTTTAGTTCAGCCAGCAAAAATAGTTTTTTGTTATCCTCTGGATGCATGGATGAATCGGAGTCCTTACTTAACCTAGGGCGCCTTGTCCACTGTTTGCTTATTGAATATTCAGGTGAAATTTCTTTAAAATCGGGCTCTGTATATATGTATGTGTTTGCAAGACAAATTGAAATACTCTTTATTCCTTATTATTCTTCCATACAATTGAAAAAAATGCAGGGGTAATTCAGGTCCTCCTTCTAAAAGATTATTTACAGAAGGTATAAAATGAAAGAGGCCAACCATTGGAGTGTGTATACGAGTATGTGTGACATTTATTTTAAGATGCTGCTCCTTTTTATCAAAGCCTTATGCTCAGATATTTATGTCTCATTATACGAGGATATATATTTTTATCTTCTTGTCCTAAAAAAATGGCAGACCCCACCTGCCTCCTCTCGACTTGATCTGTTTCCCGAATGGCCTTCGCCGTTATTACACAAACACGATTGCAGCACCGTTGGGTTTCTCCCAGTTTCGCTCGGAGTTTGCTTCCCTGCTCATTCTCAAGTACTGTATCGCCGACTAAGGGCCGTTAATTGGTAACAGCAATTTTGAATTGAGTGTTTGTAGGATCTCTTTTGGGTCAATGGATTCCGGTAAAGCCAAAACAGCTTTTGGTTGCGATTTTTGACGTTTTCTGTTTTTGCTGTTTTGTTTCGTTTTGCTTCTGTGTGTTTTCTGCATTGTTTTGCTTGCGCGTTCGCTTCACGTGCCGAAAGAAGAAGCGAAAAGAAAACCCGTTGTCCGCCCGGATTGACGACTGACTGATTGTCAATGCATATACATACATATATTATATGTACATGCATGTACATATGTGGCTAGGGGTGCCTGTGCCCGAGTTACTTAGTGAGTGGGAAAGGAACTCAGCGTCAGACGAGATGGCTGCAAGGCGGATCAGTTCGAGGTACTCGAATCTTTTTGCTGGCGACCTTATCGCACCTGCAAAGCGGATGAGCCGAGCCGAATAAATGATTGGGTACTCGATCGGTAATCACAATCATAATGACGAGCGATGATGAGATAATGCCTTGCCTCGCCAGCTCTGACTGACAGCCGCGGGAGATGTCAAGGGAGGAATGCCATTGTCAGAAACTGAATAAAACTTGAAGTTTATTGCACTAGCGGCACCGTAAGGTAGCTGCCAAGATAAAAGTGAGTCAATAATCTTTTATGACATCCAATTCGGCTCTTATCACAGCCGCGAAATAAAAGCTTGGTGAAATGATTTGTTCTCGGGTTCCGTTCCTGCCATGACTGGCAATCGAGGCGGGGGCAGGAAATTTTCCAGGAATGCCCCCACTAGCTTGGAATGCCTTGGTCTTAGGGTAATTTTCCGTGTCACATGCATCTGATAATTATCAATTATAATTTCCCGATAGCTAAGTTGATGTGCAGGAATTAATTATAAATAATTACTAAATTATAACGCGACAAAAAAAAAGGCAAACAAATAATTGCTCAACTTTCGGCAGGTATTCTCTCCGATATTTACCTTTTGGCTGGTTTATGAATCTTAATTGTAATATATTTTTAATTCCTTTATTTAGTTTAGCTGGTGGGAAGGGGTACAGGTCGCCTTCAACATTGACACGAAAAGTTCACAAAAAAGTGTTTTCACACCGACGCGTTAATTTTCGCCTGCGATGTGCTTGATGGCGCGAATTTGCAGAGGCAATCAAGACAAACAAGCACGATCAAACCATAACAAAGTAATATTTAAACGCTTGTTTCCAAGCTTTTTTATCTGCCTATGTTGTTAACAGTCGGGCGATCGCTTAGTGACTGATATTAAGCCAATGTTTGTGCTTGAATTTGTTGCTGCGGCGGCGTCGCCGTGGCGGCTACATGTTAAGCCCCCCGAACACTCAGATATATTCCGCCAGCCGAGAGCTCAACTGGAGACTCCAGATGGGAGAGGAGAGTCGGTTGGTGCAATTAGCGCAATGGGCAATAAACGACACCGTGACGCAGGTGGGGCGAAGTCGGCCTCTCTCTCTCGGTGCGAGTGTTTGAGCGTGCGTACTGGTGCTTTCTACACATCATTCAGATTTGGGCATTCGGCTGCCAGACAGGTCTGCCTTCGTCCCATTACTCATACGCAGCGTGGTACGTGCAGCTGTTGGAGGAGGCGCCGTAGAAGTAAGCAGAGGACAAGTGGGTGATGTAAAACACCTCCTTATCTAAAGAAGATTACACGCTGTTCTGGAATGTGATCAGAGATATGCTAAATACGAGTAGTATTAATTTGATTGGTTCCAGCAGCATATCCAATTGGATTTCTTCCGAGAAATGTCCAAGGTCATGCTCCATTCTGTGGCTCACCCTGTATGCAGCACAGACACACAGTCTGCCCACTCTGCAGCCTACCACCCATCAATCTGTCCATATTTTGTCACACCAGCTTACTAGCTACTAACGACAGTATCAAGACCATTTAACATTAGCAAACTCAAGAATTTGTGAGATATTTCGAACCGCTTTCTGGTCTCCTATTAGTTGGTTAGGGGTTGCCTCTCTCCCTCCCCGCCTCTGCAGTCTGCTTCTTTAGACAGATCATCGAGCTTGGTGCTTGACTCGTTTCAAGTAGCTTATTGGTGTTGCAGTGGCTTGTCGTCGACTTTTGTTGTTGTTTGGCTGGTAGCTTACAGATTTAGACAACAGATTGGAGTCGAAGTAAGCTTATAAGGCCACTATTTCAATTAAAACTTACAATCGAAATAAGTTTTTGAAACCACTCTTTTCCTCTCCAGATGCCTACAGATACTCGTATCTGTTATTTCAGATCTTAGGCGATGCCAGAAAAGTGCGGGCATTAGGAAGGATAAAACAATAAGGAAACAACGTGCTTCGTTGGGTCTCTAATATTTATCCGATTTCAGCAATTTTAGGTGGATCAGTAGATAACGATTAGATTAGATAACCGCATTATGTGTTAGATTCGTTACCAATTCGTCGTCAACCGCTGTAGCTACATACAGTGAGGCAGTGGAAAATTTTCTGCTATGGCACAGACTGTAAATAAAATGCATTTTTCACGTGATGTGCATTTGGAATTTTTCGAGTTCAAATATTGTCGGTCCTAATTGATTGTCACATGCCCCAGATTTATGGCGGCATTTAAAATACAATTTTCAAGTTGAAATTGGCCTAGTGTACTGCTAAAAGTATGATCTAATACCCTCAACAATGTCTCTCCACTAGCTGGGGAGCTGACATGGGACTTTATTGAACAGCGTTTATCGTGTATCTTTAATTACACGCCACAAAAGTACACCTGTTATACGCAGAGCAATCTTATATTGCTTGGGAACAATGTTCTTCTTGACGTACGACAAAGTCATGTTGCGTATACGCACGCTATGGGAAAGCCTTGGATAATTGATAAGCTCAAAGGTTCCGCTTGTGGATCGAAGAGAAGACAAGACCATTGCAAACAGGTCAAGAGCTTCGGCTCTAGCCGCTGCAATGTTGACTTAACGATTCCTTATCGATTGAGCGTAGTGAATTTTGAAAATATTTACCACAGTGGCTGTCCGTATTGACAATCTCGGTTGAGCTTGATAAAGTTTTATCACATTAATGGGGAATTACCGGTTGTGAAAGCTAGATGGGTGGGCTCTTAAGGTATTACCGGGGCCTGCCGGGGATTCTCAATTAGAATACCCTTTCCACTACATCTACATACGTACATACATATAGCGCTCAGCTTCTGAACACATCTCTCCCATCAATCTAATTCAAGTGAGACAACTCGCTGCTCAAATACCTGGAAACAGTGTATTTCAGTTTAATCCCAAGATCCCCCAAATATAAAATGTAAGACTTCATCTGCCCCTTCATTACAATGCCAATCACGCTTTTCCTGACCAACTGAGAAAAATTACAAACAACATTAAATTTCAGACTGTTCGGCGAAAAATTCGCAACAAAAAAAATCCAATTCGTATTGTGTTTATTATCGCTCATGGTAATGAATAATCACAATTAATATACTGATGTGCTTCCGCAATTGATTTCCGGATCTGCCTTCTGACACTGTTTTTGGGGTCGGCTCAGATCGGACGAGTTCAGCGCTGAGTAATTAACCAATTAATATGCAGACTGCGCTTGGCATTAGCTCTAAAGATTGTCGTTTCAGATCTCAATGGATTCGAAGTGCTGTCGCTGCTGCTGCTGCTATGTCAAGCAGCGCAACGATCAACGGCACTGACCTTGCCCGATGTCAAACACCCGCACCGCATTTTAATTTGATGCTCTCTGGGCTATCATGTGTGGGTGGTGTCAGTGTTTGTAACGTAACAGAAATGTGGGCTAGTGGAGGTGGGATGAGACGTCCAAAATAAACTTCCTTGACATGCTGTGGAGAAACCGGTTGCAGCCTCATCTTGAGATTCTCACTGTTTATTTGTTTCAAAAAGTGATTTCAGTAATGGCTGTGGCTGTTTCGTTGCTTCTTGCCACAGGCGACAAACGGCCTTTGTCCGAGCGGGCCCCGAAAATAATAAGTGTCGAACACGCCCTAAAGGCGAGTCAGAGCAGTACCCATAAGATATTTGCATTATGCAAATTACAAATTATTCAAAAAATGCAGGCACAGCAATAGCAACTCCCTTAGTCTGACAGTTGCCGGACTCAAGCGACAAAAGAAATTGTTCTACAGACCCGTACTTACGTATGATTTGTACATATATCTATGGCCCCCCATAACAACAGATACTTTCTAAATGATTTGTGAACTTGGGAGGCTCCAAAGAAATATCTGTTTCCGCATAGCTCAAGCGACAACATGATCAAGGTGAGTTTTGCATGTCATTTCCAGTTCCAGTTCCACGCTGTGAGTGCAATGGAAATAGAAGTAGATGTCAATCGGTGGGGTGGTATTTAATGGCTGTAATTAACATTGGCATGAACAAAAGGAGATGCGTCAGCGGACCGATTAAAAAATAGCTGGATAATTAACGTAATTCAAGTTATTTGGCAGCTCGATAGAATCGTTAGATTTATATAAAACCAAGCAAATTGGGCTCGGCCATGTGTTTGTGTGTGTCTACGACAATAGCAGAATAACTTTTAAATGCACTGTTCAGCTTAACGTTAGGACCGTGGCATTTCCATTTACTCTCCCTTGTAGACGGGCTTGCGTTTCTCGGCAAACGCGGCGAGTCCCTCCAGGCGGTCCTTTGTGGGTATCACCTGAGCATAGCAGACCTCTTCAATGGAGTAGCCCGTGCTTAGGTCGACCTGCATGCCCTTGTCAATAGCCAGTTTGGCCATTCGCACACCCACTGGACCGTTGGGGAGGATTTCCTCGGCGAGCTTTAGGGCCTGCTGGTAGGCAGCATCATTTTTTTCGTTCTGGCTTACAACATGGCTGACCAGACCCAGCTCCTTGGCCACACTTCCATCCAAGACTCGGGCAGTGAAAATAAGTTCCTTCGCCAGCGAGGGAGAGAGAATGCGGGGGAGTCGCTGAGTGCCCCCGGCGCCAGGGATTATGGCCAGTCGAGTCTCTACCAGACCCATTTTGGTATTTGAAGCTGCCGTGCGTATATCGCATGCCAGAGCCATTTCCAGACCACCACCCAAAGCAGCGCCATCCAATGCGGCGATTACGGGCATCGGCAATTGTTCAATGCTAATGAACAGGTTTCGTAGATTCGACACAAACTCGCTGGTTTCCTCGGTGGACATGCCTGGAATCATAATAACACTATTGAAAATCTTTAAAACAATATTGATTGTAATTTGTACCTTTACGCTCCTTCAAGTCAGCGCCAGCACAGAAGATGCCCGGCGTGAGACTGCGTAGGACAACCACTCTCGAACCATTATCCTTTTTAATTTCTTCCAATATTTCGCCAAAGGTATCAACCATTCCCCGGCTGAAAGAGTTCTTTGCGGCAGGCCTATTGAGACCAAGTACTGTAATACCTTTCTGTGCACCTTCCAAACGTTCGATCAAAACTTCATTACCGCCTTCTAATGGCGCCTCAACGGCCAAATTTCGGGCCGCCACAAGGGGGCGAGCTATCTGGCGGGAAAATCTGGCAATTTTATTCATCAGATACATCTTATTAACAGAATATAGCAAACAAATACGGAACGGAAAAAGATTGTTATAAAACCGGCAAAAACAGCTGTGGTCGCTAGTGCTGGAAAGCGGTAACAGTTCATATGTATCGTTGTATGAACTGTGGTATCGTACACACTCGATATTGTATCGATAGCATCATTTTCTTTATCTCCGGGTTAAATTTGTAAAAAATTTGTTAATTTTAATTTATCACAAAATTTAAGTATAATTTCAAGGCTCAGAAGACGCCTGAAGACGCCTGGAACAACGTAATTTTAGCATCACAAGGAGTGCGTACAGACAAGCTTTGTTCGTAGCTCTGCATGGGTAGATTTTTGGTTAAAGTGGAATCATAACGCCAACAATAGACAACATCTGATTAAAAGCAAAAGTCAGTCAGTGTGATATTGAAATAGCGCGCCGTGTAAGTCGAAGAAAAGATACCATAATCGAAGCATGCAAGAATTTGTAAATTGTATTTGTATTTTCAGAGCATTGCTGCGAAAAGCAGGATGCTATTTCGCGGCGTGCAGGTCCTGCAGCGAAGACACCAGCAGTTCAGCAGAGCTATTAATCACTTTTCTGTGCGACGTGACTCCGGCAAAAGTTGGATGCAAAATGACTCCGAACTCATCAGGCCCCAAGCGTGGACTCGTCCTGGCATGTTCATCCAGTTTCGGTGTACTGCTGGAGGCAGCGATTCCACTAAAAAAGAGAAGGCGCTGGAATCGAAGGAGGAGACGACTGAGGCCAAGCCGAATGCTAGACAAACAAAAAACTTCGAGGTGAAAACTTCCAAGGGGATCCTAAACATTAGCACGACAATTGAAGACTCGAAGATCAATGAGATTGTATTTGAGAAATCCGACACAACGAACATTAATTTAAAGTCCAATGCAAGTGCAACAGTAGGAGGAGGAGCCGATAGTACCACGGGATCCGAAACCCCGCATAGCTCCCCCACATCTGCTCCGAAGTCATCGCCACCTGTTAAGGACACCAAGGTCAGTCCAACACCACCACCTGCAGAGACTCCACCTGCCGTCACACCCACACCAAAGCGCGCTCGCTTTGATTATCGCGCCTCACTAGAGCGTAACTTTGTGACTCCTGGAAGAGCAATTGCAGATTTTATGTTAACGGCTGCTGACCTGGACTCTCTATCGAAGATCAAGAGGAGATCTCCATACGAACAAGAGCCTCCCATGACCGTCTACTGGCGACGAGATGTCGAGGCAAAAGCTGTGGAAGTATGGGGCTCCAAGGAGAACCTTCTGCGTGAGCGTCTCAAGCGCGAGGTGGAGCGCAAACAGTACCAGCAGAGTAAGTGCCTTCCTGTCTCACTGTACATATTTGTCAAGTTAATAGAGTATTGCTAAAAATGGATGGTCCGACAGATTTGTTCACTGTGAAACGCCGCCTGCGCGACTATCGTCGGGAGATTGGTTCTCGCACCAAAATTATGATGGATAATCAAACAGAGTCAGAGAAATCTGCTCAAGTAGTCGCCACCGCAATTGCCATGTAAGAATTAATTAATTGCTTGACAACATAAACGATTTACGTACTCGATTCCTCCAGCAATGCAGCTAATTTGCTCTTCAAGGCAGGTGGATGGTTTTACAGTGGCTCCCATAGCATGTTTGCCGAGGTCATTCACTCGCTGGCGGATCTTATTAACCAGCTTATACTCGCGTTTGGCATCTACAAGTCCTCGCAGAGTCCTGATACCGACCATCCCTATGGTTACATGAACATGCGATATGTGTCTTCGCTGATCTCAGGCGTGGGCATCTTTTGTGTCGGCTGTGGCCTGTCCATCTATCATGGTATAGAGGGCATTCTCCATCCACAGCCCATCGCCGATCTCTTCTGGGTCTACTGCATTCTGATGGGATCGCTGGTCTCCGAAGGAGCTACCCTGATGGTTGCCATAAATGAGTTGAAGCGTGCGGCCCGTGTAAATAACGTGAGCTTCAAGGAATACGGTGTGCATTTTCCTTACTCATCTGGAGGCTAGTTTCTCATACATATGTATATCTTTTCACTGATCAGTTATTTCTGGCAAGGATCCCTGCGTGAATGTGGTGCTCTGCGAGGATGCTGCTGCCGTGACTGGTGTCATAGTAGCCGGCACCTGCATGGGACTGAGCAGCTATACGGGCTCACCTATTTTTGACGCCGCAGGATCGCTTGTTATTGGCGGTCTTCTGGGCGCTGTGGCCTCTTTCATTATATACACCAATGCCAATGCTCTGGTGGGTGTCTCCATTTCAACCGACCGTCTTGAGAAGATCAACACTGCGTTGGAGGCTGATGTAATGATCCGAGCCATCTATGATGTCAAGGGCATTGACATTGGTAATGCTCGTGTGCGCTATAAGGTGAGACCCTGACCTTCTTCATTTTCGCTGACATTTTACTGAATTCCATGGATCTGCCCTCAGGCTGAGCTTGACTTTGATGGTCGCGAGTTGACGCGCTCGTATCTGGACAAGCAGGATCTCGCCAAGCTACTAACGGTGCGTTGTCCTGACCTATTTTTAATAATTTCTTGTAAAGTTTTCTTCTCTGTTTTCAGACTGTTCGTGGGTTCCAAAAGGTGGACGATCTGGAGACCTTCCTGCTCGCCCATGGCGAAAACATTGTGGACCTGATGGGCGGTGAGATCGATCGCATTGAAATGAATCTGCGGGTAAGTTACACTGAAAAGCCTTTTTAAATTGATCAACAGCTATCCACTTCTCTTCCCCTGGCAGACGCAATTTCCGGAAATTCGACACGTGGACCTTGAAATACTCTAGGACAGGTTCCCTACCTTGTGGGACTGTTGAATACAAACAAAAAGCATTAGGTGATTGGGTGCTTTCCATAAGAAATGATATCCTGTTTAGTTTATATTTATTTTCCATTGTCTACTGAATCTATCTAGTATCATTAACATTAAATGTGTTGGGCCTGGATATTTCTAAAGTCGTCTGGCTGAAGTGAAGGATACCCGGCTATGAGTTTGTAGTTGAATTAAGTGTGCTTTTTTAATCCCATGCCCCGTTGAAACCAGTGAGAGCTATGTACTATAATAATATAAATATAAATGCAATTAACTATAATGTTTGTTTGTACGAATTAAAGGTCCAAATCGATGGTCGACGAATGAAATGGTTTTTTTAGGAGAAAACAGCTGGCCTCCCTTACTTGGAGCGTAAAAGTTTCAGCCGGTTGAAAAAATGAAGACAATGAAGACAAATTTTTACCGCATTAAGGCAATCGAATGAAAGTCGATTGAATATTATAACTCAGTATTTTTATACCAAGTAGTCATCTTATTAATTTATAAGGAGATAAAAAACATATTGATTGCGCTTGCATAATGCATAATAGATAACAGTGCTGTAGGGATGGTAATTTTAAAATTCGCATTGTTGGGAGTTCTCAGCCCAGCTACGGGATACATGGGCTTATACAAATTTTCGTGTCATATTTGCGCTACAGATTACTTATCCATTGCTCCAATTATTCTAATATGCAGACAATTATGAAAGAATATCCGTTTATTAAATTAGCCTTTAAGGGATATTCAAAATAACAGTTACAGTTATTGCTTCTTTAAAGCTTACTAATACTCTAAAGTCCAGAAAACGAAAACAAAATAGAATTCCCTTCTTCCTACCGCACGCAATCATTCAAATGCACTCATGCAAAGAGAGAACGCTCCTTGAGAGAGCTGAAAGCTCCCAGAGCCGAAGGCCTATGGTATGTTTGGGATAATTTTTCGTTGTATGAACTGGGAGCGTCTTTGTACATACATACTGTAAGGTTAGCTGTTAAGTTAACATAGCTCATTTGGAATCACCAATGGATGAACCAAATCCAACTCTTTGAATAAACGGTGAATGAATGAATGTGAATGAAATTAAATGCAAACGTGAAGCTTTATTTGAAAGGTGTACACCAATTTTAATGTGAAACGAAAGTGACTTCTTATTCATAAATTTAAGTGATCAGCAAAAAGTTCTTAAGTAAAGCCTGTAAGGAAGCTCATTTCCAAGCCCCTAATTTTATATACCCTTGAAGTTCGACTGTTCGTTTGACAACGAATTTTTTAAGACCGTTCGTTCATATGTCAGCTGAAATATATGTTAATGCTTCGTTATTTGGACTGCAAATGTCTGATCAATTCCATAATGCCCTTTTAAAGGGTATAACAACCAACAAAAAAACCCTTATTACCATTTCTATATTAACCAAAACAAACAAAACACTCGCTCATGAATAATTTTTTATAAAGGAATTTCTCTTATGCTTTAGTGGTGAACGAACTTCGACGAACACTATAATAGATACACTCTCATTCACTGTTCTTGCGGCTGGGGCATGGGCATTAGCAGCGCCTTAGCGCCTGAGCTAAAGATCGACGTATCAATCCGATTCTTTCATTCCGATTTGGTTTTTTAATTTGAACACACTGGTTTACTGTGCAGCCAGCTGCTGCTGCTTCTTCTGCTGACGCTGCTGGTGCTACCGTGTGGCATTTATTTGACCCATTAACGGTAAAAGCAGCGACACAACACAACGCAATTCACATGCTAATTGGATGGGACCTGACTTCAGACTTCAGAAGCCGTTCTGTTCTGGACTGTGCTGTGCAGATATGTAAATGTGTGCGGCAGGTATATAACCAGCCATTCCTGTTCCAACTGGCAGAGACAATCGTATTCCCATTCGTACAGCCATGAAATCTGTCACCGAATCAATTAGGCGTCGCTTCAGCTGAAGTGTGGCATTGGGAGTAACTAGCACAGACCAGACTGGACATCAAGCCCAGTCCGATTGCTGATTCAGTTGCATTCCCGTTCTCCGAACTGTGACGGTAAGTTCGCCGGACGACGATCAATGCCACACTCAATACGATACGTAGTCGAAAATGTAGACTGGGGCGATCAATTGAGATCGTCGCGTACCGTACTCGTGATTTTAATTGATGGGGAAGGGAACCCTCGAACACAGCGAATCTCTGCAATACATCAATTAGTGAGCAACTGACATCTAATGCCGGCACATCTCACCCGATCTTCCAGTTCAGAGACGCAAACAATGCTGTTTCTGGTGCTGTTATGGTTGGTGCTACCCATGCCGATTCCCTCCGAGGCGGCCAATGATCCGCCCAAGCCGCATATAATCTTCATTCTGGCCGATGATTTAGTAAGTTCCCTTGATCCTAACCTGAATCGTATAATTATCTGTTGGTTATCTCTACTTTTAGGGCTTCAACGACGTGGGCTTCCATGGTTCAGCACAGATTCCCACTCCCAATATCGATGCGTTGGCTTACTCAGGCATCATTCTGAATCGTTATTATGTCGCTCCGATCTGTACACCCTCGAGGTCCGCACTAATGACGGGAAAATACCCCATACACACAGGTATGTGGACCAAGTCCTTTCATATTACTATTCAATCCAATCCATTCCTTCGTCCTGGATAGGTATGCAGCATACGGTGCTCTATGCGGCTGAGCCACGTGGACTGCCACTCAAGGAAAAGATTCTACCACAATATTTAAATGACTTGGGGTAGGTCCTTTGCAATTTATCCCCGAAACGTTCTTGTCCTTATCTCGATCCCTCTGGTCCCCAGTTACACGTCTCACATATCTGGAAAATGGCATCTGGGACATTGGAAACTCGAGTATACGCCACTGTTTCGGGGCTTCAGCAGCCATGTAGGATTTTGGTCCGGCCATCATGACTACAACGATCATACGGCCGTCGAGAAAAACCTGTGGGGGCTGGACATGCGCAACGGAACGGATGTGGCCTACAATCTGCACGGACAGTACACGACAGACGTGATAACAAAGCACTCCGTCTCAGTAATAGCCAACCATGACGCAGCGAAAGGTCCACTTTTTTTGTACGTGGCGCATGCGGCAGGTCATTCGGGCAATCCATACAATCCACTGCCGGTGCCAGACGACGATGTGATGAAGCTGGACCACATTCTCCACTACAAGCGTCGTAGATACGCCGGTGAGTCTCGTGCTTCGATCGCAAGTACCTCTAGTCCTGATGCTGCGACGTTGTTTTGGTTTCTCGCTTTCAGCCATGGTCGCTAAAATGGATGAGAGTGTTGGCGTGATTGTGGACCAGCTGCGAAAGTCGAATATGTTGGAAAACTCGATCATTATCTTCTCCTCGGACAACGGTGGCCCGGCCCAGGGATTCAACCTGAACTTTGCCTCGAACTATCCGTTGCGGGGCGTAAAGAACACCTTGTGGGAGGGAGGCGTTAGAGCCGCAGGTCTCGTTTGGTCACCGCTTCTCGAGAAGAGGCAACGAGTTGTCGACGAGACCATGCACATCAGCGACTGGCTACCGACGCTGATTGAGGCGGCTGGAGGCATACCGGCTCTGGCCAATGCCAATCTCAGTCAGAGTTTGGATGGGATGAGCATTTGGCAGACGCTGGTCCATGCCTACCCATCACCGCGCAAGACTGTGCTCCACAACATCGACGACATCTGGGGCAGCGCCGCCTTGACGGTCGGCGACTGGAAGATGATCCAGGGCACCAATTACAATGGAAGATGGGACGGCTGGTACGGACCGGGTGGGGAGCGAGATCCCCATCTCTACGACTGGAACCTGGTGCTCAAGAGTAGCAGTGGCAAAGCAATGACTGGCCTGAAAATGCTTCCAAGTCGGGCGGATCAGCAGAGACTGCGAGAGACTGCCACAGTCACCTGCCAAGGGCAATCAACTCAGGGCACCAGTTGTGTGGCGACCGCATTTTCAGCCCCATGTTTGTTCCATGTGCGCGACGATCCGTGCGAACAATTCAATCTGGCGGAACAGTGAGTTGGAGACTATCTGCTGTACTTGTTCGGTTGTCCCTCAATACATTCATTCTTTCAGATATCCCAAGGTACTCGATTTATTGGTGGCGGAGCTCCAGCATATCAACTCCACTGCTGTGCCGCCGTCCAACCAACCTGATGATCCCAGGGCAAGTCCTATGTACTTCAACTACACATGGACCAACTTTGGGGACTATTATGGCAATATCAAAGGTGCTGTCCTGGGTGATATAAGCTCGAAGTTTTGAAGGACACTGCGAAGAAGACTGCTTAAAATAAAGTTATCAAGTTTTAGTCTATTAACAGTTATTTGAAGTTGGCTAGGTTTAACGAATTTCGATAGAGGTTGGCATTTATTTATAGCTAGCATCTAAAGAAAGATAATCGATTATCAATTTGACGGGTGCTGTCTCCATCATGTCTCCATCATACTCAATTAAGACGAAGCCGTGGCTGGGGTGGTGGTGCGGAATGGACAGATATTTAGCCGTAAAATGCAGGCCCAGAGAAGGAATGTTGACTCGGCTGTGGGCACCAGGAACAACATCAGGACGGACACCAGGAGCAGATACAGACACAACACCGACATGTCCATGATTGCGAACGAAAGAAGCCTTTATTCAAGCTCTGATACTATCTTACTAATCGATCAGGCCTTATTTATAAGCACCCAGATCTTACAGTTGCTCAGCCCTCCACATATTTGTCCAGCTGTGGCTGTGTTCCGTCTGGTCAACTGTCTTTGACCTGATTCGCTGTGAGGGTAAACATTTACTCAATCCACTTCGAGGCCAATGGACAGGCCGCCTTCCATGAGAATTATCCATAAATCTGGGATACAACTGTATTCGAAGATACTCGAAACTAATAGGACAAAAACAGGCAAATCTCAAGTAGTTTATTTCATCAAGTCCACTAGTCTTTACTCAAACTAACTCTGCGGCTATAAGAGCAAATCAGGCAGTGTGAGCGATCAGGCGGGACAATTCTCACAGTTAGTACATCTATTCTCTAATAGCAAAAATAACCAATTAAATAAGATCAATGCAAAAAAAAATGTATTATATATGTGGTCTTTTAGTGCAGGGTATCAAAGATTCGAACATGTATAATTTAGTTTTAATTAGTATCGATAACACAAAATACATTCGATAGATTTTTAGCTAAGAATAACTTTATTTAATTTTGTATAATTCGCAACCTAGGATCAACCTATTTAATTTCATTTTCAAATGTATATTTAAGAAGTAGTTATATCAACTTCCATACGCATTTCATACTTCCATACTTTTCATTTTTTTTATCTTCTTTGTTCATTTGTCTTTTTGTTCTTAGTTAAATTTTAAAATCTAATATCTAGTTTTAAGCTTAAATGCAATTCATTGACGTTTTAGCTTCGTAAATTTATTTTACGATGTTGTGGCGGCAGAATTACTAGCTCCAGTACTACCACTTCCTTGCCATTCAATTGTTTCGATAGAAGCTGGGTGTTTCAACTTCAAATGCCGAGTCAAATTGCTCAGTGAACCACCATACTTAACTCCGACTTGCATTGCGTGCACTTTGCTTTTTTCTCGCCTATAGCGTCGAAGTGATTTAAAAAATCATTAAATTTACCTTTATGTGACATTTCAAAACAGTTTTGTTTGTCTTTAAACTTTCTTTCCCGAGTCCGCCACAACAAAATGTGAAAAGGGTTTCCATACCAGTTCAAAAGTAGAAAACATCAGAGAAAAAAACGAATGAAAACGAACGAATCGTGTAAATTTCTCTCGAGTTATATTTGTTTGACCTTTTTCGCTTAAACCTTTTTTTCAGACAAAATCCAATCCACTATTTAAAATAAACCATTCAAGTAGAAAATTAGTTTATGAGTCGGATAAAACTATGTGGGCATGGCTAAATGTTCTATCTAAATAGTAATATTCAACGGGATATAAACCTGGGAGAATATGGGTTCCAATCGTGACGGAGAACGATTAACCTATTGGAAGCCAAGGGGCTATTTAAATATTCTACCGAAAATAATGAAAATTGAATCATTTTAGCACAGTTCAGGTGAAAGATATCGTTGTTTTTTCAAGTTCAGAGGAAAGATGGCGTGAATCCTTAAGAAAAATGTACAATTGTTAATATTTTCCGCCATTTACCTCAAGTAGTTAAACAAGTTAAATAGAGGGGTCTTAGGTGGGCTAAGTTCGGTTTTTCATATATCATACGCTATATTGTTGTTGAGGAACCAAAATTGAGGCAAAAATAATCAAAGTCAAGTATTTAAAATAAGCCAGTCAAGCAGAAAATTGATTCATTAATCGGATAAAATTATGTGGGCAGGGCTAAATGTATGTATAGCTGAGAATATTCGACAGAAGATCAAAAGCGAGGAATATGTACAATACAATTTTTAAAATGAGACGGTATATTTACTGTATATATGTATATAATGGTATGTTTTCTCAATTTCATCATTCTGTTAAATTTAATTTTCAACGTTATAAAGAAATCCAATAAAAGCAAGTGTTTAAAATAAAGCAATCAATTAGAAAATAGGTTCATCAATCGTATAAAATTATGTGGGCATGGCTAAATGTTCTATATAGCTAGTAATATTCGAGGGAAGATCAAAATCGAAGAATATGTATAATAGAACTCGAATTCGTCAGTATATATTTTTATATTTTTGAGGGAGAGATGTAACACTCGCCATGTCCGCCGCTGAAGAAAAGGATCCCGTGGAGTTGATGCTGAAGAAAACAGGCTGCATTGAGCTACATTACAAGGTGCAGGAGTGTATAGCCGACACCGGTGACTGGCGTGCGTGCCAGGACAAAGTTAAAGAATTCAGGGCCTGCATGCAGAAATACGTCGACCAGCAGAGTAAAAAGTATGCCAACGTCAAGTAGCATCCTGCAGAAGTTCATCAAACCAACCAAGCTGGCGCTCGTCGTGCGCAGCGATCTTAAGATGACCAAAGGCAAAACAGCGGCCCAATGTGCACACGCTGCCGTCATGTGCTACCAGAACGCGGCTAACGGAACAGCCGAACAGAGTGCTGTTCTGCAGCGTTGGTGTCGTATGGGCCAACCGAAGATAGTGTTACGGGTCGAAAACTTCGAGCAACTTAATGGACTGGAGCGACAAGCGCAGGAGGCGAACGTCGTTGCTGCTCTGGTGAGAGATGCTGGCCGAACACAGCTGGAACCGGGAACGGCGACGGTTCTGGGCTTGGGACCAGCACCAGCTTCTGAACTGGATAAATTGGTTGCACACTTGAAACTATTATGAGCTCTAAGTTTTATATATTCGTTACAATTAAAGTAAAATTTAACAACAGGTATTCTTTAGCTTCGGCCGGTCTACTTGACCTTGGAGGCCGTGGAAATGGTCAGGGAAACCGCCTGACCGAACATCTCCACCAAATCGGAGGTCACACGTTCAGTTATCTGTCGCAATTTCCCATTGGACTCGCCACATATCAGCCGCTCAATGCGTTCAGTGGGACATTGTACTTGAACGGACGTGTAGACAACATCTGCAATGAGAATCGTACTTTATATGGAACTTCTCCTGTATCGTATACATACGTTTCTCCAAGCTGTAATACTCTAGCTCGCACTTCAGGTTATAGGGTATCTCCTGCGGCAAGTAGTCTAGCAAACGGGCACGAACACTTTCTACAATGAGCGCCTCGGGGCTGGCATCTGTGTGAATGTCCGAGGCGAATCTCCATTGTCTTGGCAATGCCTGTCCAATCAAATAGTTCTGAAGCTCATTCAGGCCATTACCTGTCATGGCTGAGACAAGGAACACATTATCAAAGTGATCCCAAGTGGTCTGTCGCTTGCTTAGCGGAATTCCCTCTGCCACCTGACCCGTGGTAGCGGCTGCCAGACCTCGCGTCGCACCTTTGCCATTTCGCTGACCGGAGAGCGTGTCATTGGTTAGAGTCTTGATCAGATCCAAAAGCACGCGCTTCGATTTAAGGGCATCTATCTTGTTCAGCACGAGGAAACTGGGTAGGTTGGCGTAGGCCTTCAAGGTGTCCAAGACAGTAGGGTGCAGTTCCTTTCTCGTCCAGCTGTTTGAGACATCCTGCATGACGGCGATGACGTCCGCATGCTGAATGGCATGCCGGTAGGAGCTCTTAAAGCTCTGCTCCAAGTGGTGCTTCCGTATTTCCCGCTGGGTCACCAAGCCGGGCGTATCGTAGAACACGAGCTGAGTTTGTCCGGTTGTGCAAATGGCCGTGTTCGACTTGCGGGTGGTATGTACTTTAGCGGATGTGGGACATACCCTGTGGTTAATTATGTTGTTGATGAACGTGCTCTTGCCCACATTGGGGACTCCAATCACAGCAATGTGCAGGGACATCTGCTGATCCACTGACTTGTTGATATTCTTCGTACTCTCCTGCGGAGGAAGTTGCGCAGGGTTGGACGATGTGTCGTCGGATTGAGTGGCGTTGGACAAGCTGCGTCCATTTGTAAGCAAACATCGATTGCTATTAGTCCTATTCAGCAATTTTAAAGCACTTGAAAACCAATTATACCGCATCTTGCGAAATCAAGTTTATTTTTATTTAGCAAATTTCGATAGCCAATTTCGATAGGTGATGTTCTTCCTGGCCGTATGACATTACTCTTTGCTAATGGTCGTATTCCACTACTCTAACCGGACCGATTAAACACACATATGACAACACTTGAAAAGTGTGAGACCAGCAATAAAAACATTACAGGAAAAGTAATGTACGATATAATAGTACGATATTGTCATCGAACTGGCGGCAGCGCAGCAGCAGATAAATTCATACTGTGAAATTATCACATGCGATATATGTACATATGTATGTAAGAATCGTCCGGTGTGTGACGCTGAACCACCAAATCACCAACGCCAACGCAAATTAATAGTTGTGTTTTTGCTTTCATACTATACCGATATTTACAGTAGTGAAATACGACCAATAGATGAGCAGAATTGGACCTGTAATTGAAATCAATCGTCTCAACGCGTTCGCGACCAAGTGATTAGCAGGACAAAGAAAGAATACCTCAATACATTTCACATAATATAATTGCAACAAAGATTAGCACGTGAATCAATCGAAGTCGCCAAACACAAATCCCCAATAGAAGACGCACAATGTTTTCATATAAGCTGCCGTGCGGGGACTTCCAAACGGTCACCACAATGACGGAGAAAAATATAAGCTTCGTGCCGCCAGTTTACGAGCAGAGGTACTGCGCGGCAATTCAAATTTTAATGGGATGGCAGGATCAAATCAAGAAGGTGGTCGAATTTGGCTGTGCCGAAATCCGGTTCTTCCCCCTACTACGACGAATTGAGACGATTGAAAATATAGTTCTGGTAAGCATTGAAACTCAGCGTGAAAAAAGCGCGGCGTTTTTTTAGGGACATTGTTAAGGAAACACGATTATATTTTATTTACTTCGGCTGTATCTGTATCCTATCTTAGACTGCTATCATAATAATTACGAAATAACCTTTATCTATATATATATATATTAAATACTTTATTGAGTAGAGTATACCTTTTAAATGTAATAGGGAAAATGGGAAATGAAACCTAACAATAACGGAAAAGTGGCAAATAAAAATTCAATACATGAAAGATTTGCTATCAAGGCCATGTGGAGCCAAACGGTGCACTGTTTCTGCACACCTTTTGTCCGTACATATATTTCTTACAACATCGTATAATGGGTAATTCAACGTCTTGCGCATGGAGCCGAGCTGTGCTGAGCCGATGCTCTCATAGCTCTGCTCCGACTGCCTGAGCGTACCAATCTGAATGCTTAAAGATAACAAATTAATTTATTAAAAACCAAAATTAGAAATCATGACGAGTGGTGTCCACGTGTATTAGCATGATTAGGTTTTGTTCTGTTCCTCTGAACAACTCATCTGGCATCGGGTAGTGCCCTGTTAACCACTAAAAATACTTGAAAACGAATTTAGGTTGCTAGTTTTCTAATTCTTGGTTTGAAGTCCCCCTAGCCTAGTCGGTCGGTCGGTTGGTCGGTCGGTCCCTATTTATAGCTCTATAATTTGCGAGAATGCCTGGACGGGTTGACATTACGCCCCTTGATGTACTTGTTTTCGTCATCGTATTCGCTGTACAGATTCTGCACTTCCAACAAGCTCGAGTTGTTCTCTACATCGTGCTCGCCAATTTTTGACTCAGTCTTATATAGGCATCGGCGCGTGCGCCGCTGCTTAGGTCGATCCTCTGGCGACCGCCTTGACTTCAGTTTGCGCTCCACCTCATCGGTGGCAGAGGACACAGTGGCATTTTCTTTGCGTGTGGCGCAGCCACGTTTGTTACTGGCCACTGCTGACAACGGCGTAGACCGAGATTTGCTAACAGCACCGCCGGCAAATTTAGCCGAGGCTATATTTTTGTTACTACGTGATACACCTCGGTTGGATTTCAGCTGCTGTGTTTGGGTTTGCTTGCTGGTTCTTTTCCGGTAGGCTCCCCCCCCGACGCGTCGACGAACTGCTTGCTCGGAATGGTCAGAGTAATCGCTCTCCTCAGACGTGCCTTGCTCTGCATACTGCTATAAAGATAAAAATGATAAAACATAAAAATAAATGTTTTTATATGCCACCACAATTTACCTCTCCATCAGTGCTTTCTGCTGCATCATTATCCTCCTCCTCCTCCTGGTCCTGCTCGCGAGTCAATGCATCGACTTCATCATGGCATTCGCCTTCGTTGTGTTCCTGCACGACCAGTCCCTTATCGCGTCGACTCTGCTCAACCGTCAGTATCGCATAGGTTGGCCTGCCCTCATAGCGCTTAGGAAGACGCATTTGCAAGGGGCATATGGTCTCCTCCCGTTCAAACTCCTTGGCCGCCCGTTCGCGGGCTATTTGATCGGGGTCTTGAGAGATAACCTCCGCCCATGAGAACTTCTTTTTCACATTCTTCTTGCTCGACTTGGATCGCAGGTTCTTGGGCGATACACGATTTGTTATCGAGTGCTCCTGGAACGGAGTGCTAAGCGTTGAGTTACGCATCACGTTGGTGGAAATCTTATTATTCAGTTCAAATATATCGCACTTGTTGCCATACATTTCGTCCTTAACAGCCACGCGGGAGAGCAAAATCTCTTCGCTGTTTAAGCGCATCTGGCTGGGGTCATGGCCCAGACGATGAAACTCTCGCTTAAAGATGTTGCGATAACGCTCATAATTGGGACGCTCCTGGTATGCTAACTGGCCAATCTGTTTCAGAAACTCGCCCAAATACTTAGGAACTTGTTTTCCGTAGAATTGACGCAACATTTCCGAGACATCCGTCATAAAGAGCTCCTTAGCACGGTGCACTTTCTCCTGCTGTTGCTGCTGGGCCACATCCTTCCAGGGCAGGTAACCCTCGGACCAGTACACCAAATTGTAGCCCAAGCACTCCAAATCGCTGCGTCGCGAATGCGCGCCCAGGTGGGCGTCGCGCGATGTGAACTCTAGAGTGCCGTCGTGCGCACGTCGTTGGTCCATAATAAACGGACGGTGAACACCGCGGTCTTGATATTTTGAGGCCAGGCCAAAGTCAATAAGGAACACGTGCTCTTCCTCGGCGGGGAGAAGCTGATACTCTGCGTGGGATTGGGTGTCGTCCTGCTTTCGCCTTCCACTCCGTTTGCTACCTTCGCTCATTTCACTTTTAAGTTTCGATTGATGTCTCGTTGCTCGTGTAGTTATGGAGCACTTGGAGGGCGTAGATGGATGTGCATGTGCTTGTGCGTGCCTTGCCCGTTTACCCACGGCTGCTGTCGCGCGTCGCGCCGAGGGTGGAAGAAACTCCTCTGAATCGTTATCGGACGTTACTGGCGACTGATCGTCTTTATCCTCATTATTTTTTATGGGATAACCATCCTCGTTAAAGTCCTCGCGGTAGCTAACGCGTTTGGTGGGTCGCAGATAGTGCGACTTGACCATTTCCTCGTACATGGAGTTGCGCTTTTCTCGACGGCACGAACGCACCGGATTGGAGCCGCTGAACTCGATGTTAGTCTTGCGCACGCTTCCCTTATTTTTGTTCACTGGCGTGTGGTACGTGTCCAGGCTGTTGCTGTTGTTACTGTTCGAAGTGGCGCCATCATCAAAGTCCTCGTCTTCCTCATCTTCCTGGGCGGCATCCACAATTTGCTTTAAAGCCAACTTTTTGTTCTTCATGAAGTAGTCATCGTCGCCATCACTGAACTTGACTACATCATCGGTTGTCTCCTGCTCCGAGCTATTCCCGCTGTCTGTCGTCTGCTGTTTCTCATCGTAGTGCTCGTCGTAGCCATCGCTCTTTGCCCCCTTGACTTTTCCGGCAGGCACTGCCTGCTGCTTGAGGTACTTGCACTTGGATATCATTAGGTTCTGTGCCTTGATATCGTTGTGACAATAGCCCTTGTCGTGAAGATGCTCTAGCACATTAATTATGTGGATAGCGAGGACCAGCAAGCATTTCTGCTCCACCCGTGAGTTTTTAATGAGCGAGTGCAGGTCGCGATCGAAGCGGGGCAGGACCAAGAACCGATACCGAGCATCTCCAAAGTAGTGTGTGCCCGAGGCAATGTAGCTGGGTATTCCGGACGGGGGCCCGTTGCTAATAATATGCCTACGAGCCGAAATGTTGGCAGCATCCTCGTGATCATCAGCTATTTCTACAACAAAAGAATGATCATAGCATCAAGCAGTAAACCTACGGTGTATAATGCTTACTCTTAGTCTGAGATGTGTTGATCAGACAGTGAATCTCGACGAAAAGTGGTCCATTTGAGTGGGGTTCAATTTTGACGACGAATTTGGCTCTTTCAGAGCTAACGGGGCAGACAGTGTCTTCTGAGGCTAGGAAGATCTCGCCAAAGTTTCCCTTGCCTATAGAAAAATATGGTAGTTAAAATGCGCACTTTGCATTTGCATTATAACCAATCTGTCGATCACCACTCACCTATGGGTCGCCCCAAACGCCACGCCTTGGAGAGCACGTCCCTCAGTATGGTTCCATTGACGACAGATGGACGCAACGTATATACCGGACGCGGCGACTCGGTAGAGTTTGAGTGATTGTGGTCACTGGCAAAACTAGCTCCAGCCAACAGGAGGCTTTGAGCTTGCGGGGTCTTCAACACAGATGTATCTTCCTCCACTTCACCACCGCCAGCAGACCCCGACGATGAGGAATCCTCGTCGTCGTTCTCGTGGAACTCATATCCATTGCCATTTGTCGCCGCGCTGAGGCGCAGGCATTTCTCCGTCACACTGCCGCTGGTTTTGGCCGGCGCTCGCTTTCGTTTGCGTATGTTGCGGTCTATCGGTGGGCGTTCCAACGGGAGGCGTTTGCCCATCGTGATGCCGATGCCCCCTCCTTGGATTTGGTTGCAAACGGACTACGCTATAGCTCAGTCTCGTTGCAGATTTACGCGAGGCGTATTAAGGAACGTTGATTAGATTTGCGCGTAAAAATTTTATTGTTTTCTTCGAGTTCCGTTTTATAGCTTGTTGTCTATGCTTTTTCACTTGAGATTTGAGTAAAGCGTAGAGTGGTATGTCAAATAGACAGCGACATAGTGTTCGTTTGTATTAGTGTGTAATAATTATGTACACACAAACAAAACAAATAATTTAATATCTTTCGGAAATGTCCGAAATGTTGATTTGTTCATTATTCGAATAGTATGTGTAAATGCGTGCAAGTCTGCAGATTTATATTCAATATTCAATGTCTGTAAACATGGGGATAAAATAACAGGACAGACGGACGGACAGACAAATGAGTACAAAATTGATTTTTCTCCCCGGCATTACAGCACATAGCATTAAAGCATATTGTTAATCTTTCTTTTCACTAGAGTATTCGTTATAGATATATTATAGCTGCCACTCGATTTCCTCAGCACAAACTCGATTGAATTGATTTTCCAGTAGCTATTTTTCTCACGTATTGCTAGCTCTCTTCTTCTTTTTTTGTAGCTTTTCTTTCTCTGTCCTCTACAAGACCATGTCTTGTAGGTTTGTACCGCGCATAGCCGTAAATAAATGCTTACAATTTTTAGTTGGCCCGGCGTCTTACACGTTTAATTTTCACATATAGTTCATTGCTTTCTTCTCTTTATTGTTTAGCTTATTTTAGTAATTACACATTTTTTCAACATATCGATAAAATTTATCAAGTCAGAAATACACATTTTCTACACATTTGCTACATAATGGAAGGAAAAAGAGGGTATGGACAAGAGCCAAACCGGCCCAGAAAAGCAACGCATGCAAGGTAAAATCTACCCCATTTCCCAATATACCTCGAAGAGAAAAAGACGATTTTTTTTTCAATATATATTGTTCTCACACGCGAGGTGAGATGCGTACGAACCTTGCAATTTGCCTTGGCTATTTTGTGCTATTGTCCATACCCTTATTTATAGCCCATTACGACTCATTAGCCCATTACTGCCGAGAGAACAGCAGTGTGACCGTCCTACCCTCAGAAATAACGCAAATATACCGATGAAAAAACGATCTTATACCACTAAAACCCCCTTTATTTAAACAGCTGGAGCTAGAATTCTTCATGATTCATAATTTTCGTAGAGGACGGACATTTGTCCATATTCAAAAATCATATTAGTCGATTTTGATATTTGGTTTAATATTGCTAGCTAGCCAGGAAACTCAGTTCTGAAGACATTATTGTATCCAAGTGATATTTTCTACAAGATTGGCTTATATTAAATACTCTCTTTTATTTGGTTGTGTCTAAAATAAGGTTAAAAAAAAGCTCAAAGCATAAAACGAAAATGTGTCTTGAATGTTATCCTCTTTATACCCTATTTCTTTTAACTAATACTCAAATTCTGGTTTCCAAGCTGCTTTAAAACGTTATTAGTAATGGTATTTTCCGAGAGTGAGATGTTTTAGACCTTGTATTAATATTTTCTTGTAAATATATCTCGATCCCGATACCTATTCTTGGTCTCTGTAAAAAGACAATAAACTGCAACATTTTGTTGTGATAGCTTGTGATATCTTCATTCATTGGAGCCTAGGATAACAAACATTTCCCCAATTATATAATATCCTTTTCACTATGTGGAGTGTTGCTGATTTAAATCTTAGCTCAAAAAAGTTAGAAGAAAATTTATATTCGCGCAATTTACATTCGCGAATTCTTTTAACATGAAATCGCTTCTATCTGTTTTCGTAGGTGGACATTGACGAAGCACTGCTGAGGAAGAACATGAATCGAATAGACCCATTGCTCTCCGACCATATTAAGAAACGCCAGAGTCTCCTGCAAGTGCAGGTTCTGCAAGGAAACGTCGCCGATTCCTCGGATGAATTGCGGGACACAGATGCTGTTATCGCTTTGGAACTGTAAGAAATACACTGCATATTTACACTACTATTTACTACAATAATTTAGCTAGTCCGTATAGTTTTAATGAATTTAATGCCGCGCGCACTGTTTTTGCATTTCGTTGCAAAATGTTGTGTTGTATAAAATACGACAGGGCTCCAGCGTAATCCGACCCATTTCATACGAACGATAAAATCGTTTGATATAAGCTATTTGGCTGCGTTATTTACCTGATTTTTTAAATCATTCCATTCAAAACTATCGAGTGGCGCCACTATCGATGGTTCGACAGCTGCATGACACAAGTACAAATTTGTAAAAATTTTCTACTGGAATTGTTGTAGCAACATTTTACATTTTACATCATAATCTTATTAGATGTACTCAGTACTACAGCAGTGATGTTGAGACATAATATTTTCTATTCTTCATAAATAACACTGCACAGCATATCTGATGATTTCAGAGGATTATTTTATTTAGATCTTTAGTTGAAGAAAAGTTTCTTTTTGCAGCTGAAGGCTGAAGGAGGGCTGTTCTGAATGATCCAACAATAGTCAGCCATCATGTGTGAGTTCCAGTAGCCTTGATAGCGTCCCTCCATCGTACGAAGATCCTGATCTTCAAGATTGACGAAAAAATAGTCCAGGTGATTATGGAGAAAGTATAACTTAATTATTATGCTACATCCAACCCTTTGAAAGTGATAAATTAGTTGTTCGACGTGTTGAGGGTAGTCAGAACTAGACGATATTTTGTTGTCCTTCTTTTAGCCTAGAGGCTACAATTTGTGAAGCGGTCTTTGACAGTCCTAGATCTCCTATAGGATCGTTTAAATCGTCTTGGATCAGTCGGATCGTCAGTACTGTCATTTTCCACCTTAAAACGCATGTGCTTCTCCTTAAGGCTCTGTTTTTGTTCACCAAACTAAAATAACAGTCGTCGTTGTGGTTCACAGGTTATTTCTCTTAAGAGAATTACCCTGGTGGATGATCTTGCTGTTATAACAGACGTCAAACTAAAGTTTTCTGAACACATACATATCTACCATGGTAAATAATGCCATGGGCCTGCTTGGGTTTATAAAAAGGTGGCCAAAGGTATTGTACGTCCCATATTGCATATTGCATCGCCACTTGACAGATGCAGTCGTTGCATATCAACGTCCTAAATATTCATAAATAGCGACTTTGTACCTAAATTTGTTCCGTTTTCCATTTGTCCACAAACGCAGAAACTCAACGCACGTTTTGCATACTTTTTGCGGAACCCAATGATTATATTTAATTTCCAGCGGCTGACCAAAGTAATTCATTCAAGCTTCTTTTACGAACTCTGTTACATTTAAACGATATTCTTTAAATATTCTTTCGGACTATTCACACAAAGAATTCTATGCACAAGGCTATGCACAAGGCTATGCACAAACAGACTGTGCCATATCAAATTTGAATAAGTAACAGCAAATTAGGGCTATGAAAAAGCGAATTTAGAGTGAAAGCTAACTCGTAAACTAGAGCTGTTTCAAAACAAATGAGTGTATTTTTAGAATCAGCGGCCTCAAATTAATAGACATAAAGTGATAAAAGTCAATCATCATATTACTCGTTTTTTATATTCGGCTCCAGAAGATAATAATTTTATGTACGCATTTATTTACTTACAGCATTGAGCACGTTTATGAAGATGTGTTGACCAAAATTCCATTGAATGTTTTCGGATTCATGCAACCGAAAATTGCCATATTCAGCACGCCTAATTCGGACTATAATGTCATCTTTACGCGCTTCAATCCCCTTCTACCGAATGGATTTCGTCACGAAGATCACAAGTTTGAATGGACGCGGGAAGAATTTAAGTCCTGGTGCACGTCTATTGTTCAGAAATATCCCAATTACATGTTCGCCCTAATGGGAGTGGGAGATCCTCCCAAGGGCTATGAGTCCGTCGGTCATGTGTCGCAGATAGCGATATTCGTACGCAAGGATATCCTCGAATTGGAGCTAGAGAATCCGCTGATTCGCAATGTAGGGACATCCAGTCCCTACCAGCTCATACATGGCGTCACCTATCCCTTTCATGTGGATACCAGGAGTCAGGAGCAACGTATCTGGGACGATGTTCAATATGAGCTGAATAATTTTAAGCAATACTGCAAATACCAAACCGAAGATGACGACTGTTCGGATATACATAAACTACCATTTGAGTCACTACTGTCACGCATCCATCGCACTGGCGCTACAAGAGAAATACTTGACGATATCCTAAAAAAGAAATCAGTTCAGGTCAAGGATGATTTCGTTCTGATAGAGGACTCGGACGACGATTCCGTAACTTCAACCCATAGTGATGCCGATGAGCAGAGCTTGAATGAGGTCCAATTATCCGGAGAGGACGAGGAGCTTTGGGGTGTCAATTAAGCTCCGCTCCCAAGATTGGGGCCCAGAATAATATTTTTTCATAAGTCCCGGTGAACTCCCATATTGGGACTTCGAATAAATCCAGAACCAAATCTGTTCCCTTTTACATATCTCTTCGGGGTCCAGGGTGGGTTTTTTCAAGCACAGTTTCAATTTCAGTTTCAGTTGAGGGAGTTCACCCGCCCTTTCTCCCTAGTAGACCACTATCACTGCGAAACGTTGCGAAAATTGGGGTTGCCGCCAAGATGATGAAGACGCCGACGCCGCGTCGTCTGTCTAGCTGGGGCACCCGCACGGAAATTGGTTTTTTTTGCAACAATAGAGAGATGCAGCAAGGTGGGGGGAAAGCAGGGGAGAGTTTAACATGCAGACTTGGCGCAAACGCAGCGCATACCGAAATTGCCTGCGCTATTAATGCATCCACCCGGCATACACTACACTCCACTCTCTGGCACCCTGAAACTCTACGGAACTCTGCGGCTGCCTTCCCAGAGGTCTGTTAATGGAGCTGGCGTCAGCTCGAAGCTGGCGCCGGAGAGTCATCGTCAGTTGTAAGTGAACCTCGCTCCTGACAAGGGGGCCAGCGAACCGAAAAATATCTAAGAACGAATTGCCATAGTAGCAAAAGTAGCCCCGTCCTAGTGGCCTGGTGCTGTCGTGACAAGTAACGAAAACAAGAATTCATAAACATTCACCCAACAGAAGTAGACACATATACATACATATATACATATATATACATCCTTTCACCTTGGGTCGAGTGTCACATGTAAATCGGAATTTAACTCAATTTTTATTACATTAGTTCGCCCTGTGATTGTGTGAGGAGTCTTGCGTGGTTCGTTCAGTCGACAGTTTCAGTCAATCGAAGCCATGGCCGATGAGGGTGAAGGCGGCAAGGAGGGCGAAAAGAAAATCCTCCACGTCTATCCTCTAGTAAAGGTTTGCAGAGCAACTTAATGAACCTTACAGCACGTTCGCAAGATTAACCTCAGTATTCGATTTTTCTCGCAGCACTCGGACATGAATGAGGAAATGCGAACGGAGGCCATTGAACTGAGCATCACCGCGTGCGAGAAGTATTCGTCAAACTATGAGGTATGTGGTGGGGGCAAGCCTATTGGGTAAGCTTCACAGTTTGCCTGGTTTCGTTTCAGCAAGCAGCCAAGATCATTAAGGAGACCATGGACAAGAAGTTTGGCATCTATTGGCATGTGGTTGTTGGCGAGGGATTCGGCTTTGAGGTATCCTATGAAACAGAGAACATTCTGTACCTATTCTTCGCCGGCAATCTGGCCATTGTGTTGTGGAAGTGCTCTTAGAGAGCGAGCGAGTCACCAATCAATCAAACGTACCTAGAAACCTCCCAAAGAGAAGTTTATTTTTGTATTAACTTGAGTTTTACATACGCGTATACAATATACAAACGGCGTACCGTACAGTTAATGGACTCAAATACGCACAAGTAGCAGCAAAGGCGGATGACGGATGAAGAAGGAACCAACCGACCAATACGTGTGATTTCCATGGTAACTTTGGCAACCCCCAGCCCTTCCTTCCGTTTCGATGTTGCTTCGTGAGAAAAGAATTTAATTTTATTACGAAATGTACCTAGTCGCTAACATTTTGAAAACACAAATCATAAATTGTTGGTATGCACAAAACGAAAACACGAACACCTGAACGATTCGCCTACGCATAGACATCCTCACGATCCGCGCCGGCGCCATCGCCACCATCCTCGAGGTTCGAGAAAAGCAGGAAGTGCGACGTGCGGTGCAGTTCGTGGTAGAACTCCTTTGGGTTGGCCAGCTGCAGTTCGTACTTCATGTTGGGATCGTGCCGCACTCCCATGAAATTGTAGTTCCAGCTGCTCTGCGCGGGCACCATGAAGAAGCCAAGGAACTTGTTCGACAGCAGCATCTGAACTCTTTCGTAGTGAGAAGGCAGGTAGCCCTTGGGGTTGTTTCCCTTGTCCGTGTTCTTAGAGCCCCACTCGAAGCCCGACGGGGTCAGTTTGTAAGCGGTCAGCGAGCAAGAGCCGGGAGTAAAGGAGCAGGTAATTACAATCGTCTTTTCGCCGTCCCAGTTGGAGTTCTCCTGCATGATCTTGGCATGGGTCGTGATATCCTGCGGCGATAGCTGCGGCAACTCGTTGGGCTGCGTGTGGATCCAGCCCAACGGTTCCATGTCCTTAAGGTACTGATGGGTGGGCAGGGTGTTGGGAAGGTTAATTGTCTGGTGCGTTCCCCATTGTGGAGGCATCACAATGCAGCGAATCTCCTTCACCTGCGGGTTGTCCGGCGGACTTACGCCGTAAAGATATCCCGCAATCTGTGCTCTCAAATCGGAGATGGTGACGAACTTCTTGAGTATGTTCTTGGGCAGAATGTAAGTATAGCCAGTTTCCTTGATGTCATCGGAGCTGACATATATGTGATTCGTTCGCAAATGCAGATTCGTGGCAGAGATGGCTCGCACGCGCCACTCAGTCTTCGAGCTGAAAGTCTGCGTCTCGTAATTGGATGTGGTGGAAGTGATGATCTCGTCGCCGTGTTTGTTTGTGGTGCGCGTGGTGGTCGCCGTCAGTTGATTCTGCTCCTTTGTCTGCTTCTCGATCTCTGCTATCTGCTGACGTTGCGCCGATGGCGCACTGATCTCCATGCCGAGAATAATGTCGCGGATCTCCGACTGTGTGAGTGAGGCCACGTTCACGTTGTTCTTCTTTCCGTAGTCGGCTAAAATGAGATCCTTGAGCTGCACCTCCACCTTGATCCACTCCTCATCCGTCAATGTTGGCCAGATATGATGGGCCTCGGTAATAGTGGTCTTGTCTGGCTTTAGGATGATCTTGGTGCGCTCCGTATTCACATGCAGGGCTCGTAGGATCAAAATGAGACGGCTGAACGCCGTGTACGAGGAAATTGTCTTCAGCCAGTCGTCGTAAAGATTAAAGAGCACCATTTGGGGCTCGGTGGCCTTCAGAATCAGATCACCAAACTTCTCCACTTTCAAGCAGGCCTGAAAAAAAAAAATAAAAAAATGTATTAGTTAGATCCGTATGTCAGTAGCTGGGCATCCTAGGCACTAACCTGGAAGGGCAACTGCAGCTCAGAGCCTTTGATGACGATGTTGGGAAAGTCGAGCAAATGAACCTCGAGAGGATCAAGCATACCCTTGCGCGTCACAATGATCTGTTTCGGCTGCTCCTCCACGGGCAGCGAGCGAATCAGGGCAGCCACCTCTTCAGCCGTCTTCCACTTGGCCAACTGACCCAAACGTTTCTGCCCCGCCCATACCGAAGTGTGGATAATCTTTAGGAAAAGCTGGCCCGTCCGGGGATTGAATATAAAGATTGCGCCGTTTATCGGCTTCGTTGTCAGATTGCCCTCGAATGTCTTATGGATGGTGACGCGGTACACGTTGGTGTCGTCGACAAACCAGATGATCTGATTTGAGAAAAGTTCGCCATAGTTCTGTGAGCTCAAGTAGGGTTCCGTTGGCTCTGAGGAGTACAGCTGCAGAGCCTTGCGGATGCGCTCGCGCAGGACATAGAGGGCCGGATTGGCCTTCATGATTTTGGCCATGGCCTGCTGGATGAGAGTCTTGCAGCCAGGGAACCAATTTCCATATGCTGAGTGCAGATTGTAGGCCAGATCGATGGCAATCAGGATACCCGTGGGCGAGGGATAAATGGACATGTTGTCTGTGGTGTAATCAAGGAACTTGGCCCTCGCGTAACGCTCCACATCGTGGGAATCATAGTCTCCCCAGCGCAGCTGAATGTCTAGCCAATACTTCTGAGTGGTCGTGTTGTCCATGGTGTCCTTGGTGTCGGCCAGCAGAGAGGGTCGCGACACGTTCCACTTGTAGGCGGGGAAGAGTAAAATGTCGGCACAGGAGGAGTTCATCTTGTAGGACTTACGCGGATGGATCGTCTCCTTCTGCACCGTTTCGATTTCAAGAGCGTCCAGCTCCTGATCAAACACCTGGCACAAGTCCATCACAATGGACTCGTGTATCTTCTGCCACAAATGGGCACGGAAAATTTGAATCAGCGAAATCTTGAGCGTCGGAATTTTGCCATGCATGAATATGCCAGTCAGATCCAACTGCACCTGGAAGCCCACATAGACATTGGCGCGGTTGATCGTCGGGGACCACCAGAGTGTGAAGCGACGATTCGGGATCTGATTCAGACCAGAGCGCTGTGCATTGGTCAGTTTCTTGTACTTCATGGACTCCTCGAAGCCAGAGGCCTTCTCCCAGAACAGACCCTCCCAGGTGGGGAAATAGGTGCCCTTGAACAGAGTGTGCTCGAGAATTCCCTCCACGCCGCCCAGCGCTTGGATCATATCCGTGCGATAGTTGTTCAGGTTCCACAACTTGCCGTCGTGGCGTTGATGGGTCCACCAGAAGGGGTTTTGCTTCAGCACCTGATACTGCTTGAACTCGGTGCGTATGCGCCAGCCCTTGTCATAGGCCAGAGTGTGGCGGTCCTTCTGGAAAAGCGTGTTGATCCGAGGAATACCCCGATCCCAGCTGTCCTCGAGGTCCTCCAGCGTGAGGCGACGGTTCTGAGCATTTGCCTCCTGGCGCTTCAGCGCATACTCCGCCCAGACGCGCTGCGAATCGATGAACTCACTCTCCCACGGCTGAATGTAGCGATACAGATTCGGAATAAGCTGATCCTCGTCATGGGACATGCCTTCAAATGAAAATCCAAAGGCATTAGGAAAAAATCATCACTTGGACACATTCAAATTGAACCTACCCGATCGGAAGTGGGTTATTCCCACATCCGTCTGCTTGGACCAGCGCAGATCGGATTGCGGAATGAGAACGTGGCCCATGCTCAACATGCCGAGACCTCCCAGCTCCTTTGGGGTGTAGAACACGACGGGTGGAAAGCGCGAGGGCATTTTCGAGTTAAGGCCAATCTTGATGCGCGTCTGAATCTTGTTTTCACACTTGACCAGTAGATCCAGCAACTCCTGGGTATTGACAACAGCCTCGCGGAAGTACGTCATCAGGCCAATGAGGGCCGTGTTCCATTTGTTAACAATCTGAAGAGCAATAGAACCGTTCAAAC